ACACCCCTCTACTGATCAAAGTGTGTTTTATGTTACTTTATCTGTGTAAAACCGCGTGTAACTCGGTCAGTCATCCTTAGCCAGTGGAATTCTTTCCCTGAACATGTAAAAAAACATTCACAGAAAGTACTTTCAAACACAAACTCTGACTCGGGTGTAATTTTTTAAATTTTGGTTTGCATAGAAGAAACTAAATCTCATCTCCTATGTATACATGTGGTGCTATTAAAACTGTGTCTCACTTTCTGCTTAGTTGTCTTAGGTATTACAACATACGTCAGCAACTTTTTAACATTCTACCTTAATTATCTTCTTTTCGGCAGTGATCGTTTAAGTAAGAACTTAAATCTCATTCTGTTCACACTCGTCCCGGGCTTCATTGAAGCATCAAGGCGTTTTAATTCATAATTCCCGACACAGCATTTCCAACGTCTTTTTTATTATTATCTTCTTCTCCCTTTAAAAAAAGCAAAACGGATTAGAAGTTAAAACCATATAAAATGATCGACATTTTGTTAATAAAGATCAGAAAAATTCAAATGTAAAACAAGCGCTTATGAAATAATTAAGACGGAAATTCATGGAAAGGAATTAATATAAGTGTTATGCTTGTTTTTCAAATCCATATAGTTTGTGACGTTAAATGATAAATGCTTGTAAATTTGCTAAATAAAATATGTTTGAACTAATTATGTTAAACACCGTATGCGCTAAATGATTTCCTTCGATTTGATTTATTATAAGATATCATGGTCTGTTTACCTACCGTGCTACTCGTTTCGATTGTATTTGATGACAACTTAGTGGAATAAAATAAACACAATTTCAACAACTAACTCAGTATTAATTCCATTAAATGTGTCGAGCTGCTGCGCCGGGCCATACAGATTTAATTTTAATAATGCTGACTAACAAACACTAACATATTCTTAAACATTGCTTGTTACTCTTTTTGTTCAAACCAGTTAAATGGAAATTTAGTGAACCATTTTTGACGTGTTAGAAGTGGTCCTCCTGGCATAGAAAAAAACTTGATTCGGAATACTGAAGTACTGAATGAACTTGACGCTCTTGTTATTGTTAATGATGATATATACCATTTGTAACAAACAATTTGTCAACAAAAGGTCCGTCAGTGCATTGGAAGATTTGAGAACACTTATATTAACATAATAAGATATCGAAATAAAAGTAGCATCCGTTGAGAAAAAGAGCAATCTGGATAAACATATTACCAACTTTCATAAAAAAAGAACATGGCAGCTTTTATTTACATAATATTTTAAGATATTGAAATGAAACTCAAAGGAAGCATCCGTCGAGAAAATGAGAAATTTGTATGAACATATCACCAACCTCCGCAATAATAGAACATTATAAGAACATTAAAGACAACAACAACAACAAAAATGACGACGACAACAACAACAACATAAAAAATACAATAACAAGTACAACAACAAATACAACAACAAATACAAAAACAACAACAAATACAATAACAATTGTTCTGCGTCCTGTTCTACTACAACCACTTCTTCTACTACAGCACAGAAAGAAATTGTCATTTTTGTTATTTTTGTTGTTGCAAGTCGTTTGTTGAACATAAATATGCCGTATTCAGATTGAAAAAAGATGCATTTCAACAAAGGATCAGCCAGTGTATTTGAGGATTTAGTACACCTATACAAGCATAATTAGATATCGATTTTTTTTACAACAACACTAAAAGACAACAGCAACAACAACAACAACAGCAGCAGCCATAGCAGCAACAACAGCAACAACAACAACAACAGCAATAACATCAACAACATCAGCAGCAGTAATGTGTGACTAAGTTTTAGATTTGTTATTAATGTTATATAAATGTTAAGCATATTCGTGTTGCCCCTCTCCCTCACCATGAAGTTGGGACATTAAATGATAGTGCAGATTTACGTTACTAAAACAAAAGGCGTTTGTGAGAAATATCAAAATATAATTTTATCACGTTCTCCAGAATTACATCAAGATAAAAAGAAATAATCCTTTGTAAACATTTACTATTAGTTTATCAGCATGCAATAATTATAAGAAATTCTTAAAGTGGATAAGCCTGCAATGGGCATGTTAACCAGAAGTATTTCAAAAATTGATAAAAACAATAAAAATATATCATTAGGATATTCTTGTTAAATATTGTACGAAAAAATGTTGATAAAGATCTATGTGGTATTGTATGAATATTCATATGATGAATAATGACGTTTTGTTATAGAACATTTTATTATCTGCTATTTAAAGATACATACTATCGGATCATGTATCTCACACTTGCAACAGCACGACTTATGAACACATATGCTGATGTTTCTAAATTCAATATTTTCCAATCTCATGTTACATGTTGAATTTCGCTTAAGACGGTGCTAGGGGGCGTGGACGGTAGTTTGCACTAGACAGTACCGTCCATGAATAGACTCCGTCAAACCGAGCATGCAACGTTTCAATTTTGCCGTTTTGGACTTTCTTTACAAATTCTTATTTTCTCTATATTTTCGTGGTTTGTCATTATGTCTATAATACCAAATACTATCAACATAATTATTTATTGTATTACAAACCTACCATTATAGACCAATTCACTTTAAGTGATGATATACAATGTACTCGTATATTATGTTGATCACGTGAGTTATAAATCACTTCAAACGTGAACCAGTTTTTTTAACGAACTGCTGATAATGCAAAATTATTCTTAATCACGTCAAAGTGTGTCCTTATTTTATTTAGTCATATTTTGTAACTTACCCGTGCACTGATTTCATTGTGGCGATAAATCACAATATAAGCACGTGACGTCATCATTTCTTTGATGTTTCACTCATTTAATTCGTCATCAAAATGTTGATCCCCTTAAGTTGACGGTAAGTTTAGTAAATCATATAATCTTTTAAAAGTAATGTAAATATTATATGTTGACGATATGTAGTTGGGCTACCATACACGAAGTAGCACTTGTTAATGCAATAAATAATGCTGAAATATCAAAAATGTCGTGTTAAATTTATTCCTTATGAATGCTATATAAATACAGATGGCGTTTCTAATATATCTAGATCTCTTCTTGATTTAAAGTAATATCCCTGAAGGATTTTACAAGGAATTAGCGTTCAATTTACTCAGCAGGTGCGTGAATGTTTTCTTCACATATATTATAGTTCATACTCATTAGATATAATCATTGTACATGGAGATGTCCAAGTTTTAGATGTGTCATTAGAAATAAACTTTCTATATAATGTATTGTATATAAAAATATGTTTAGAAAATGGTAACTGATGGAAGGGGTTCTGTATCACGGGTTTCACAGTATCATGAATTATGAATCAACTGTGACCAGGCAATCACTGAAAAGCAATGTTAAATAAAGAATTTCACGAAGTAAGGGATTTAAAAAAAATGTTTAAAACCTTAAAAGCAGAAAAAATGTAGCATGTTATTTGTCATCCGTTAAGTTAAATCTTAAACCAGTAATGAAGTCAATGCAAAAATATAATAACAAAAATGCCACAAAACAATAATTTTGCTTCATAATAATGTGTAAAGCTATGTTTTAACATGGGGAAACTTAATTTCGGTTAATTCCAAGCTTTTTCACCATTTTCAGTTAAACGAAACATCGACGTCCTGGTCAAGCCAGAATTTTTATTAAAGAGAAGAAGTAGAAAAAATATACAATAAACAATGTTTTCTCTGTTCATTCATATTTCATTTTAACTTTAATTAAAAAATGTAACAAGTTTTCATGTCACAAGGTTCGTGGTCTTCACTTACAGAATGAAGTTGGTACATCTATACATATATATGATGTACATGTATTGGTTTAATTAAAGATACCATAGGGAAAAATATGATACCGTAAAAATTGCACAGCATTGCTGGCCGTCCGAGAGGTATTTTTTCCTTTGTAAGGAAAATAAGTGGCTGTTGGCCGGAGGTAAGAGGTGACCGTTGGTAAGAGTTGAATTATATTGTAAAAAACTATTTCGGAGAATTAAACCTGGCTGTTGTAAGGAGGTGGCTGTTTGTGAGAGCTGACCGTTTGGGGAGGTTGCACTGTAGTCTAATGGTTCTTGCAAACCGCATATTTTCATGTTTGTACTTTCGAAACAATGATCTTCTGACAGGACACAGAACTGGTTTGTAAACCGCGAGGTCTAGTTATATTTTTTCGAGCTTATCAATCGTTTTTGTAGTTTCTAATTAATCAAGTCACAAATTACAGATACAACCGGAGGAAAAACCTTGTCAAACTGCCTTGCCCCTTTTACAAGTTATTTTGTTGAATTGTCAATTATTTTATCTCTACTTAATTTTCCAATAAAATGGTCTCTTTACCGAATTAATTTTGATATTATCAATCATTTAAATATAACATGACTGGTGGCAATAAATATGCAAACTTTAAGTAGATTTCACACAGAAAATTCAAACATAATTTAAACAATCTTTAAATCTTGTTCAAGTACAGTTGATTAATCATTTATGTTTTATAATGTTCAACTAAATGCAAGACTTTTAACGTGTCTGCATAATATATCAGTTTTATTTTATGATATTCGTGAAAGTATAAAAAAAACCTGATTTTGTTGCAAATAGATCTTTTTTTAACTATTTCATATAATTTTGTGTTGCAATATGAAAAAAAGAAATCCGGTAAGATGTAGGCCCATCTTTGCCAATTATGATTAAATTAACTGTAGGTAAAATTTTATATGTCAACATTTGATAACCAAGTTTTTGTGAAGTTCATTTAATTTTGTTTACATGGGCATGTTTTGAGTTTATATGAAAGTTATATTTTATTGACAACTGTGATATTTTAAGTGATGGCGGGTCGCTAAGCCATCACATTAGATTATTTGCCTAGATAAGATTATTTTATTTATGTTGGTTGAAATTTTCATCATCTAATTACATATTCAAAGTTAAAACTTTCATTTCTTACGTTTATCTTAACAATCAGCCGTACATAAATTTTGATTTAAAAAGCGATTAGTTAAATACTGCAAACTGTAGTTAGTTTAGGATTTTAAAGAAAAAGGACTGCGAATCTAGACCACAGGGTAGGATGATAATATTATATAGATCTATAATTTCCTACATTATCAGGCATAACTATAATTATTACATATATTCATGTATATATAATTTTGTATTTAGTTGATTAAGTAAAGAATGGTCAGTTTATGATAAAGGTAAGATTTTAAACATGCTATATTTTTGTCTATAAATATCTTCAATTAAGCAAAATTGTGTCCTATATCGAACATTTGTTTTTCATTTACGATTATTTCATTAACCATTAATTTATTAACCATTATTATATCAACTCATTATTTCATTAACATTTCAATAACCATTGTTTCATTAACCATTATTTCATTTACTTATATTTCATTAACAATTATTTCATTAACCATTATTTCACTAATTTATATTTCATTAACCATTATTTCATTAACCATTGTTCATAAACCATTATTTCCTTAACCATTATTTCATTAACATATATTTCATTATCTTATATTTCATTAACCATTGTTTCATTAACCATTATTTCATTAACCATTGTTTCATTAACCATAATTTCACTAACCTTTATTTCACTTACCTTTAATTTTATGAACCATTATATCATTAACCATTGTTTCATTAACCATTGCTTCATTAACAATTACTTCATTAACCATTACTTCATTTACAATTATTTCACTAATCTTTTTTTCATTATCAATTATTTTATTAACTTATATTTCATTAAATTTTTTTCATTAACCTTTATTTAATTAACCATCAATTAATTTACCATTATTTCATTAACCATGTCTTCATTAACCTTTATTTCATTAACCATTATTTCACTTACCTTTATTTTATTAACCATCATTTTATAAACTTTTATTTCACTAACCTTTATTTCACTGACCTTTATTTCACTAACCTTTATTTCATTAACTTTTTTTCATTAAGCATTATTTTATGAGTCATGATTTCATGAACCATTAATTCATTAACCACTATTTCACCAACCTTAATTTCATTAACAATTATTTAATTAACTTATATTTCATTAAGCACTATTTCATTAACATTATTTCACTAACCATTATTTCATTAACCACTATTTCACCTAATTTTATTTCATTTACCATAATTTTATTAACCATGTTTTATTAACCATTATTTCACTAACCATTACTTCATTAACATTTATTCATTTACCATTATTTCATTAACCAATATTTTATTAACCATTACTTCATTAAGTTTTATGTCATAAACCATTATTGAAAAATAAATAGATAGATTTAATTTATAGTTAAAAAACTTTTCATCAAACCGTTTCAATTATTGGTTTAAATACAGAATTTATTTTACTTCGATTGTGTAGGAAGCTATTAGCTTATAGACACACTTTCGAATCCGTTTCTTGAACCAGAACTGAGCCATAAGTGTAAAGTTTCTTTCTCAAGGAAAAAACGACTTGCGCCTGAACCCATTCGGCAAGCGATTATCAGATTACTAGTCCGATGCGTTAACCACTCGGCCATGCCGACACTTTCAATTGAAGACACACTTGATGCGTAAATGTTGCAAATTTGTAAATAAAGTCGAATTTATTAATAAATTTGGGTATAATATGGATAAGTTTCTAAGAATGTTAAAGCAAGTGCCGACTCGCATTGACATGGCCCTTAAAGCACAACTCCACCAAACTAAAGGAAAGAAAAAAACACGGTTTAATTTTACATCTTCAGGCAGATATAGTAACACTTTATTTTATTCAGACATATTATAACCACGTATGTATACGAATATTTAAATAGAATAATTCAGAATTGATATCATGATCTGGTTGGAATTTCTTAAACTTAAATGAGTTTCCTGAAAATAATTTATTTTATTCTGGCATGTAACACACTGACGGATATTATCAGGGGCGTACCTCTGCTTATTATGAGTGTACGCCGAGTGCCGGTTTTTGGTCGAAGGATCGCCAGAGACTTATATATCAAATATAGCTATATGCACTAACTAAGGATTTAGGGGATATTTTAGCTAATTGTACTACTATTGTCTTTATCTATAGTTATGAAAATAGTACATAAACTGAATGTAATAGAAATAACAAGTAGTCTAACGTGTACACTGTTTTAAATAGTTCAAAAATATTTGCTTTTACAAAAACAAAACATAGCCAGGTGTCTCTCTTGTAAAAAAGATGGGTTTTATTTCCTTTTGTAACAAGTTTAGTTTTTTCTTTGTTATTCTCTTTTGTTTCACTATAACTTAACGTGAGATATAATCAAGGAAAATATGCTTTACTGGGGCGTACCTTGGCTTATTTTGAGTATGTCAGGTCTTTGGTCGAGACTTATATCAAAGATAGCTCTTTGCTATTACCAGGGATTGTACTACTTAAAAATTGTCTTTTTCTATAGTTATGAAAGTAACATCAAGTACATGTATTGAATGTAAGAGAAATTGCACAGTCTAGATTTTACACTGGCTTAAATGATTCATAAAAAGTTATTTACTACCGTGTATCAGAAAAAAACTAAACATAGCCAGTTGTCTCTATAGTTATGAAGATGGGTCTAAGAAGTCTTTTTCCTTGTTAATTTTCTTTGGTTTCACCATACCGTAACATGAGATATATATATAAGGAAAATATTATTTAAAATGATCTGTATAACGATAATACAAACAAAATAGCTTAAATGTTTTTGTGTAACAATAGGTTATCGTATTCACATCTAAATTGTAGTATCGCGTGATCATTTAAGTCCTGTAAAAGTATTTCCAAATGCGCATTATGTCAATGTTAAAGAAAATAATTTTTATCTTTAACAATGTTTTTCTCAACTAATTTGTTTCAATTTTCATCCGAAATGTTTAAATTAGTTCAGTACATTGTTAAATGACTAACGCACATAAAAGCATGTTGGTATATAATCAGAAGTCGGTGAAAATAAAAGAATCGGGACATGACGTGTCTTATTATCTCTTATATAGGTATACGTTGTTCTCATTGTATATTTATCTATGTTTCATATGTATAGATGAGACTATGTACGGGGGTTATCCAAAAATTCGTGGACTTTCATTGTTGCGTAAAATACATTTGAGATTCTTACATTGCTTAGAAGAATAAATAACAAATAAACACAGAAAAACTCATGTTAGTAGCTTCTTATATGACAACAATATTTAATTCTACATAGCAACAATATTAAATTCTAGATAGCGGCGCACTCCAAATGTTAATGACGTTAACGTCATAATAACGTACTTCAATATGTATAGATGAGACTATATATATCATTGTTTACAGTAGGTTGCAATTTATTTATATAGTCAATAAAATAAGACGGTAGAAATAACTTTATATATTGATATATTTTTAGGTCAAATAAATATAAGTTGACTATGGTTTGGGACGATAGATGTGGGCAATGGTTTTGAATAAAATTGATATAAGATGAAAGAATGTTACTAACTTAGAAATGATATAATAACTTAGACTATAACTATAAGGTTAAATATAAAAAAAAAGAATTACATACATGTATTGTCAACTCCCTTCCATTGTGCTACAGATGTCAAGTTGCAGACAAGACTTAATTTTGCATATAAATGTAAAATAATGAAATAAATGTTCAGTTTTCATTGATTTTGATTCTGCGGGAAAGATGATTGTAAATGAATTTGACTTTTTATAATCATTATTTGGGTTAATTTGCATTATAACATTGATTATTTTGATAACTCAATGATTCAATCTGCAGAAAGAGAAATTTCCAAAGAAATTATTCATATCATATTTTTTTTACATTGTGTTCGTCATTCCGTGGCTCTGTAGAAAGGCCGAACATTTTTGTTTTCGGAGTCCTTAATAGAATCCGCATACAGTAGGATATTATAAATTAAAATCTTAAGATAATTTAAACGATACCTCCATAAAACTTTTATTACATGGATTCCAGACTGAAACAACGATAGATCAATTCACACTAAAATTGTGTATACACATTATCAAAATAGGTAACACATTTTCGAATTAGGAAACATCCTCAGCATACATAAAGAATCAATTAGGAGCTACAAATATGTTGATCGATCTATGCCCGATTTGAAATTTTCTTTTTTTTTTCTTTTCATACGCCCGTGCGTATTTGGCGTATCGGTATGTACGCCACTGATTATGTTTATAAAAAGAGCACAAACTTGTGACATTACATCTACTTGTAAAATGTCTCTATCACAATTGTACACATAGATAACAGATTTTACACAAAGTTTATCTTACTTGTAAAGTGACCGCATAACATTATAATCTTACAACTTGTCCAATTTTAATACGTTTTACCTTGATAATATTATAATAGAAAGAACCTCGAAACGCGAGGCTATCTGATTTGTACGAAGGGGTGTAGCCCCGAGTATTAATCAGATAGTCGAGTGTTTTTATTACCTTTCTTTTTTGTATCATAGTCAAACATACAAACACGTTCCCTGTTGTCACAATATGAAACTGCAGAAAAAAGTAACCAATGAACGGACATCTGCATATGACTTTTCTATCATTATCCCATTCCCTACCGTCACAATAAGTTAATCTAAAAAAAGTTAGATAAAAGAATTAGCCAATCAACAAGCGTGCTCTATTTTTATCACCTAAAGAAACTAGAGTGCTGGTAACTTATATCTACACTCTATTTAACGAACTGTACAGGTATTTATAGAACAACCGAATTCCAAGAAAAATGATATTTGTAGAACAATGTAACTTATTTGAACACTGAAATTTGTAAAACATTGATATTTGTATTACAATGGAATTGCAGAACAATAGTATTTGTCGAACAATGGGGTATGGAAAACAACGGTATTTGTAGAACAATAGTGTATGGCAAACAACGGTATTTGTAGAGCAATGATATTTGTACAACAACGGTACTTGTAGAGCAATGGTATTTCTAAAACAACGGTATTTGTAGAGCAATGGTATTTCTAAAACAACGGTATTTGCAGAGCAATGGTATTTCTAAAACAACGGTATTTGTAGAGCAATGGTATATGTAAAACAACGGTATTTGTAGAGCAATGGTATATGTAAAACAACGGTATTTGTAGAGCAATGGTATATGTAAAACAACGGTATTTGTAGAGCAATGGTATATGTAAAACAACGGTATTTGTAGAGCAATGGTATTTGTAAAACAACGGTATTTGTAGAGCAATGGTATTTGTAAAACAACGGTATTTGTAGAGCAATGTTATATGTAAAACAACGGTATTTGTAGAGCAATGGTATTTCTAAAACAACGGTATTTGTAGAGCAACGGTATTTGTAAAACAATGGTATTTGTAGAGCAACGGTATTTGAAGAGCAATGGTATTTGAAGAGCAATGGTATTTGTAGAACAACAGTGCTTGTAGAACAATGGTATTTGTAAAACAATTATGGTATTTGTACTACAAATGTCTTTATAGAGTATTTGTAGAACAATGGTATTCCTAGAACATTGGTATTTAAAGAAACAACGGTATTCGTAGAACAGTGGTATTCTTATAACAATGGCATTCGTAAAACAATGGCATTCGTAAAACAACGGTATTTGTAGAGCAACGGTATTTGTAGAGCAACGGTATTTGTAGAGCAATGGTATTTGTAGAGCAATGGTATTTGTAAAACAACGGTATTTGTAGAGCAATGGTATTTGTAAAACAACGGTATTTGTAGAGCAATGATATTTGTACAACAACGGTACTTGTAGAGCAATGGTATATGTAAAACAACGGTATTTGTAGAGCAATGGTATTTGTAAAACAACAGTATTTGTAGACCAATGGTATTTGTAAAACAACGGTATTTGTAGAGCAATGGTATTTGTACAACAACGGTATTTGTAGAGCAATGGTATTTGTAAAACAACGGTATTTGTAGCGCAATGGTATTTGTACAACAACGGTATTTGTAGAGCAATGGTATTTGTAAAACAACAGTATTTGTAGAGCAATGGTATTTGTAAAACAACAGTATTTGTAGAGCAATGGTATTTGTACAACAACGGTATTTGTAGAGCAACGGTATTTGTAGAGCAACGGTATTTGTAAAACAACGGTATTTGTAGAGCAATGGTTTTTGTAAAACAACAGTATTTGTAGAGCAATGGTATTTGTAAAACAACGGTATTTGTAGAGCAATGGTATTTGTAAAACAACAGTATTTGTAGAGCAATGGTATTTGTAAGACAACAGTATTTGTAGACCAATGGTATTTGTAAAACAACGGTATTTGTAGAGCAATGGTATTTGTAAAACAACAGTATTTGTAGAGCAATGGTATTTGTAAAACAACAGTATTTGTAGAGCAATGGTATTTGTAAAACAACAGTATTTGTAGAGCAATGGTATTTGTAGAGCAACGGTATTTGTAGAGCAATGGTATTTGTACAACAACGGTATTTGTAGAGCAATGGTATTTGTAAAACAATGGTATTTGTAGAGCAATGGTATTTGTAAAACAACAGTATTTGTAGAGCAATGGTATTTGTAAAACAACAGTATTTGTAGAGCAATGGTATTTGTAAAACAACAGTATTTGTAGAGCAATGGTATTTGTAAAACAACAGTATTTGTAGAGCAATGGTATTTGTAGAGCAACGGTATTTGTAGAGCAATGGTATTTGTACAACAACGGTATTTGTAGAGCAATGGTATTTGTAAAACAATGGTATTTGTAGAGCAATGGTATTTGTAAAACAACGGTATTTGTAGAGCAATGGTATTTGTACAACAACGGTATTTGTAGAGCAATGGTATTTGTACAACAACGGTATTTGTAGAGCAATGGTATTTTGTAAAACAACAGTATTTGTAGAGCAATGGTATTTGTACAACAACGGTATTTGTAGAGCAACGGTATTTGTAGAGCAACGGTATTTGTAAAACAACGGTATTTGTAGAGCAATGGTATTTGTAAAACAACGGTATTTATAGAGCAATGGTATTTGTAAAACAAAGGTATTTGTAGAGCAATGGTATTTGTAAAACAACAGTATTTGTAGAGCAATGGTATTTCTAAAACAACAGTATTTGTAGAGCAATGGTATTTTTTAAACAACAGTATTTGTAGAGCAATGGTATTTGTAAAACAACAGTATTTGTAGAGCAATGATATTTGTAAAACAACAGTATTTGTAGAGCAATGATATTTGTACAACAACGGTACTTGTAGAGCAATGGTATTTGTAAAACAACGGTATTTCTAGAGCAATGATATTTGTAAAACAACGGTATTTGTAGAGCAATGATATTTGTAAAACAACAGTATTTGTAGAGCAATGGTATTTGTAAAAAAACAGTATTTGTAGAGCAATGGTATTTGTAAAACAACGGTATTTGTAGAGCAATGGTATATGTAAAACAACGGTATTTGTAGAGCAATGGTATATGTAAAACAACGGTATTTGTAGAGCAATGGTATATGTAAAACAACGGTATTTGTAGAGCAATGGTATTTCTAAAAAGACGTATTTGTAGAGCAATGGTATTTCTAAAACAATGGTTTTTGTGAAACAATGTCATTTGTAGTACAATTATAAATTTAGAACAATGGTATTTATAGAATAATTGTATTTGTAGAACAATGGTCTTTGAAGAACAGCAATATAATTAAAACAATCGTATTTGTTGAGCAATGGTATTTGTAGAACAAGGGTGTTTGTATAACAATGGTATTTGTAATACAATGGTATTTGGAGAGCAAAGGTATTTGTAAAACAATGGTATTTGTAGAACAATGTAATTTGGAGGACAATTGTATTTGTCGAAAATGGTATTTGTAAAAAATGTTTTTTTTGTAAAAAAATGGTATTTGTAGAACAACGTTATTTGTAGAACAATTGAATTGCAGAACAATGGTATTCGTAAAACAATGATATTTATAGAATAATGTTATTTGTGGACCAATGTATTTGTCAAACAACGGTGTTTAAAGAACAATGGTATTTGTAGAACAATGGTGGGTTAAGAACGACGGTATTTGTATTAGAACGGTATTTGTAAAACAATGGTATATGTAGAACAATGGTATATGTAGAACAATGGTATTTGTAGAACAATCGTATATGTAGAACAATGGTATATGTAGAACAATGGTATTTGTAGAAAAATGGTATATGTAGAACAATGGTATTTGTAGAACAATGGTATTTGGTAGAACAATGGTATTTGTAGAACAATGGTATTTGTAGAACAACGGTATTTGTAGAACAATGGTATATGTAGAACAACGGTATTTGTAGAACAATGGTATATGTAGAACAATGGTATTTGTAGAACAATGGTATATGTAGAACAATGGTATTTGTAGAACAATGGTATTTGTAGAACAACGGTATTTGTAGAACAATGGTATATGTAGAACAATGGTATTTGTAGAACTACGGTATATGTAGAACAATGGTATTTGTAGAACAATGGTATATGTAGAACAACGGTATATGTAGAACAATGGTATTTGTAGAACAATGGTATTTGTTGAACAACGGTATTTGTAGAACAATGGTATATGTAGAACAATCGTATATGTAGAACAACGGTATATGTAGAACAATGGTATTTGTAGAACAATGGTATATGTAGAACAACGGAATATGTAGAACAATGGTATTTTTAGAACAATGGTATATGTAGAACAATCGTATATGTAGAACAACGGTATATGTAGAACAATGGTATTTGTAGAACAATGGTATATGTAGAACAATGGTATTTGTAGAACAATGGTATTTGTAGAACAACGGTATTTGTAGAAAAATGGTATATGTAGAACAATGGTATTTGTAGAACAACGGTATTTGTAGAACAATCGTATATGTAGAACAACGGTATATGTAGAACAATGGTGTTTGTAGAACAATGGTATTTGTAGAACAACGGTATTTGTAGAGCAATGGTATTTGTAGAGCAACGGTATTTGTAGAACAATGGTATATGTAGAGCAATGGTATTTGTAGAACAATAGGTATATGTTTAACAATGGTATATGTAGAACAATGGTTTATGAAGAACAATGGTATATGTAGAACAATGGTATATGAAGAACAATGGTATATGTAGAACAATGGTATATGCAGAACAATGGTATATGAGGAACAATGGTATATGAAGAAAAATGGTATTTGTAGAACAATGGTATTTGATTTGTAGAACAACGGTATTTGTAGAGCAATGGTATTTGTAAAACAACAGGTTTTGTAGAGCAATGGTGTTTGTAGCACAATGTTATCGGTAGAACATATGTATTTTTAGAACAACAGTATTTGTAGAACATCGGTGTTTGTAGAACAATGGTATTTGTAGATCTATATTGAAGTAAATCAGTATTTGCTTATGAAAAATTTCACCTTTGCATTTGTTTGACAAAAATTGATAAATATTCTCAATAAATCATAAAATAACTATTGATTGCAGTATACGGACAGGGGCTCATAGTCGTCTGATGATGACGACATTGGATGACACTGCTGACATCACTTCAAATGATGATGATGACCAATCAAATTTGTTTAACGAATATTTCACCGCGGCTGAGCACGCGACAGAGCGCGTGGCGTCTCTTGTTAACGGAGATTTTGAAAGTTCCCAATTGTTTGTACAGATGGATGTATTGCGGGAGTACAAGGGTGATCTGGTTTGGCAGGAAATGGCGAGGTAAAATATTTTCAACGCAAACTTATAAGAATATCTGGTCATTTGCATATTCGGCATATACAAATTCAGGAAATAACAATTTCTTAATATGATAATTATGGCAAAAAGTAGCCATATTGTGACTTAACATAATGAGTAAATTTGAAATTTATAAGACAAAGAAATAAAGGCTTTTTTTCTATATATACAGGATTAATTTTCATTAAGTGGCATGAAAATAAATATTTCATGAGTGACAGTAGTGAAATATGATAATTTTATACCACAAGATGAAAATAAATCCTGTATTTATGGAAAAAAAACTTAAATTTTCTGTTTAATATTACATTATATACATTATACATTATATACAGGTTTGTTTCTGAATCTACTACTTTCCAAACATGTCAAATAACGCATGGATCGCTTAAGATATTTTAAATTAAATAAAATGCCTGTCACAAATAAAAAAAATGAATTTAATAAAAAAAAGAGAATAAGCTAATTCCCTAATACATAAGAAATATAGGTAAATAAATGCCAATGTGTAAGGAAGATCATATAAAATAATAAAAATGTAAAGTCTTACATACAATATACACAAACTGGAAATCTTTCCTTACACTACATTGGTATGAAACTGTCGTTTCTAAAAATAGAATTTTCACCAGAAACAACAAGCATCTAACCCCAAAGAGACAAAAAGCCTAGAATCAGTTTGAAAGTCCTCTGCTTTGCTAATATTTCAATATGTTTATAAGGTGGATACGTTACGAGGAAGCGGTGGAAGAAGGAGGACAGAGGTGGTCGAAGCCTCATGTCGCCTCACTTATGATGGAAGCTTTACAAGACCTACAGAATATTCTCTCAACTTGTCCAGTTATTCTAGATAGTAAGGCAAGAACCATGGCTGATGTCGCAGGTAAGTGATTTTATATAGTTAGGCAAGAACAATGGCTGATGTCGAAGGTAGGTATTTTCTATATAGTAAGGCAAGAACAATGGCAATTGTCGCATGTGATTCTAGAAAACAAAGCCAGAACAATGGCTGATGTCAGAGATGAGTGATTCAAGATAACAAGACAAGAAATATGGCTGATTTTAAAATAAAATGTTTCTAAATGATAAAGTCAAAAGAATTACTGATGTTACGGATAAATAATTCGAGACAACAGAGACAGAAAAATGGCTTAGTCGTGTAAGTAATTCTATATGTAAGTGAATCTATATGGCAAAACCAGAATAATGGCTGATGTTGCGGGTGAGTATTTTTAGATACCAAAGCCAAATAAATGGCAAATTACAAGACAAATTATTCTGTAACTTATTTGATTCTAAATATACAGGAAGAAAGTGCACTGTTAACAGATTTAGGTATTTACTGTAGCAATGTCTAATATTTTTATAGGCAAAACCCCTTCCTATATTATATAACTTTCCTTCTTTAATTATCTCTAAATATCTTTTTTGCACATTATTTTTCTGAACAGTTTCTCCTAAAAATGGAGTTAATACAATACAGGAATAATTTTCTAAGTAATAAACAACAAAAAAATAAATAATAATAATGGTCCAATGCGACATTGTATATTTTAAAAATGAATAAATTTGCGTTTTTACTAGAAATATAAGCACAATTCTTTCACTATGATTGACGTCGGAAAAAATATATACATTTTCAAAATAATCGTTTACAGTTTTAGAAATTGTTTTTTTAGATGACATTATAAATGCCTGGCTACTAGAGCGACCAATACTCGAGTATATGAAGGATAAACTGTCGTCAATTTTGATGAAACTTCACAAGTTTCAATACGTCACTAAATCACGTGACATGAAATCAAACAACTTATCATCAGTGAGTTTATCTCGGAAACTGCAAGAAGAGCGCCACGTGAACGGTATGTTGCTTAGTGAAAATACAGACACGCGTTATTAAAGCTGCATGTCTCCAGATGAGACAAAATATTTCCCAAGAAAATCAAACCGGAGAAAAATGTACTAAAATTTTGGAATAAGTAAAAATATTTCAGATTTAAGTGATAATTTACATTTTATATTCAATAAATAATTGATTTTTCAGTATCTATTGCCATGTTTCTACTGCGTGACTAACGCACTAAAGGCTATTTTGAATATTTTGACATTATTGTTGGTAATTTACTTAGGTTTTGAATTGCTTTCCTTTGGTTACTTCAAAATATTTTACTTTTGAATACATTTTCAACATTTTCATGGAAATTAGCATTTTAAAATAGTAGGCGTGCGGCTTTAATAGAAATTTTGAAAGTTAAAGAAAGTGTAAAGGAGAAATTGTTGTGTAGTAATAATGTAACTAAGCTTGTTTTACTAACAAATTATTATTTCATACAATCATATAATAATAATAATAATAATAATAATAATAATAATAATAATAATAATAATAATAATAATAATAATAATAATGATAATAATAATAACAATAACAATAACAATAACAATAATAAAAGAAAAAAAGCGTATACATATTTTCATAACAAGCAAACACTAATTGTTCAATCATGTTCAATCATTAGTGCTGTATAGCGACATTGTAACACATTACAGGGGCGTATAAGGGGGATTGTGACTCGTTGTCAAAGAGTAGCAGTCAGGAGTTTCAGTCATTGTCGTTAGGAGAGGTAAATATGTTAGTCTGATTATCTTTATATATGTGTGATATACGAGTGTTGAATTCAGTTAAAGGAACTCCACTGAGGTTAATAAGCCTTAAAACATAAAATTTAATTTTTAATATATATCAACACGAGCTATTAAAACAGAAATATAAATAAAATATAACTAAGAAACATACAGGAAATACATTGAAAATCGTAGTTTGTGCTATTCTCTGTCCGATTCGAGTGAAAAGCGTTTAAACGCTTTTCAATTTTGGGTCATTTTTCACTATTATAATTATTATTTTGGAAAAACGGAACGAGCTAATGATCTGAAATTTTGCACATAAGTTATTAGTATAGATCTACACCATAATCTCAAAAAAAATATTTCCAGTCCAGTCATGTCAAAAAACCTCAGTGGGACTCCCTTTAATGTAATTGTACTAAAATCTTAGAAGGAACGACAATTTTTTTAATCAAAACAAAATCATCGCATTTTATCTACAGATGAATGATGATTCAAATACAACTATTTTATAGAAATAGAGTTACAGCCAATTTCAAGAACGTTTTGATATAAAACTTTTAGTACCCTAACGTTACTAGTAAATATGGACAAAGCAATACTGAAAAATTTGCTTTAACATGAAAAATCTAGATGTACTGGGAATAAGTATTTTCAGTGCTAACAAAATGTTTTACAATGGATTTTAAGATTTAAAATTTGTGTACAGACAAAATTGGTTTACATATACTTTGTTTCAAATTTAGTTCATGATTTAATATAATTTGTCAAGAAAAAAGTTAACAGAGTTAGTTGTATTAATTATAAAACACCCTCATTTACATATATTCTATTCATATTACGCACTTACTATGTTTATATATTTCTTGACATTTTTTTAATGTTTGAATGCATTTTGTTTTTATTTTAGATGAACAAGAACTTTATGAGACACATACCGGCCGGGGCTCAGGCTGTAAACATCTTAGTTGGGGAAGTTAGTGATCTCGACAAGGTCACAGCTGCTTTTGTAAGACTTCAGGTAACATTCAAAATTAGTAATTGATTTAACAGTTCAGGTAACATTCTACATTAGTAATTAATTGGAAAATAAGGTAAACTTCTACATTAGTAATTGATTTTAGACTTCAGGTAAAATTCTATTTACATGTAAGTAATTGATTTAAGAATTCAGGTTAAATTCTACAAAGCCGGATTATGTCTTATCTTAGAGAACTTATACTTGCTTCCATTTATTTAATGAATGATTTGTTTTCGTCATAATTTGTTGAAAAAATTATGACGTCATTATCCCGCGGAAATGTCGATTGTAAGTAGTAGATATTTCACTTCTTTTTCTGTCATGTTTAAAGGATGCCTGTAACCTTGGAAACATCACGGAAGTCAATTTGGACTCGAAATTCATGTTTGTTATGCTCTGTCCGAGACAATATTTGGGACACTGTATAGAGATGTGTAGATGTATGGGCGCCTTGTTTTCAGACGAGGTATTTATTAGTTATATAATCACTACAAAGTAATTTACACATCATTTTAAAACAAAATTATTCTCATATCAACGGAAGTAATATTTCGCATATACACATTCTGTGATATAATCATTCTTTGATTTATACAGAATTTATTTTAGTTCGATTGTGTATAGGAAGCTATAAGCTTATAGAGTTCGAATCCGTTCCTGGAACCAACCAGTACTGAGCAATGAGTATTAAGTTTCTTGCTCAAGGAAACAACGACTTGCCCCTGACAGGGTTTGAAGCAATGCGGCTAGCAATCATTTGATTACTAGTCCGGCGCGTTTACCACCCGGCCATGCCGCCACTTAATCATTCTTTAATTTAAACTTCCTTTTCTTATTGAATCTAGATGGTCATCTTTGATGGTCAGTTTGACAATTTGAGTAAAAGTCATACAGTTTTTTAAAGAAATGAAGCAAAATTTCCGAACGTACACTTAAACCTTCTACAATATATATACGTTCACATATAGATATTTCGATGTGTTGGATACCGGTGTGAAGATAGATTTGATCTTTTGTGTGGAATACAAGAGTTCTCTGTACATCTAACAGTGTTACCACCAGGTGTGTGGGATTCTTCTACAAGAATAGAACCACCGGATCAACTTCCACCACAGGTAAAAATTAAATCATGTTATGATAATATTAGTAATCTCCTTAGTACACGTGCATAATAAAAAAATCTGTATGAAAAAAATAATTAAATAAACTACGATTAGTAACCACTATATGATTAAATTAATATACATGGTTCATTAAGGACAAAACTGTTGTAGTGAATTTTATTTGACAAGTACATGACTGTCAGTCCCATATTGGACGAGTCGTTAGACGGGTCTGGATCCGGCTGTGCACGAGTCCATTACAATCAGTATTGTACTAAACAATGTGAATGACTCTTTATTTCACAGCATTAACATTTTGGTATTTTTACAGGCTGACATACTATAAGGATTTTAAATTGTGATAACATTTGGTTCAAGCCAGCCACAATTATCACATTCGATTATTTAGTGGTCTTATGTTTTTATGAAGATTTAGTGGTCTTATGTCTTTATGATGATTTAGTGGTCTTATGTCTTTATGGTGATTTAGTGGTCTTATGTTTTTTTATGATGATTTAGTGGTCTTATGTCATTATGATGATTTAGTGGTCTTATGTCTTTATGATGATTTAGTGGTCTTATGTCTTTATGATGATTTAGTGGTCTTATGTCTTTATGATGATTTAGTGGTCTTACTTCTTTATGGTTTTTTAGTGGTATAATGTTATCATGATAATTTCATTTTAAACTGAATACTTTGAACACATTTTATACATCTGAATACATTTTTAAATGTTTATAAATAATTCTATAACTTCATTTATTTATCGCGAAAAGATGTTGTCATATTTATATGTGTAAAGGATTATACTTTCATTCATTTTCACTGAATTCAGTTTTGCCATATTTTATTTCTAATAACATTTAAATTTAAACATTTAAACATTTAAAACTAATGTTTTGCTTAAAGTTTATCAAGAATTACATTGCTATTTATTTTACAAAAGATAAATTTTGTCATATTTTAATAAAGGACTACAGAAAAAATCCGGGACAGATATCTGCCAGTAAACTTTCTATACAAGATAAAGACAAAGTAACTAGAGATGATCACCAGGAAAATAATCCCGATGATTTAACCCTACTACGGACTGGCAGGTAACCCACCATCTTATCCCCCGCCCCCCAAAAAACAAAACAAAAAAACAACAACAACAAAAAACACACAAAAAAGAAACAAAAAAACTAACAACATCAACAACAGCAATAACAACAAACAACCAACAAACAAACGAACGAACGAAATAACATGTACAGTCTCTTTGTGATCATCTATGAAACAAAACCAAAAATAGCCCTACAGTTGTTCGACTCTTTTATTGGTTCTATTTTAATGTATGCAAGTGAAGTATGGGGTTTTCACAAATCAAAAAAGTTAGAAAATATTCATTTGAAATTTTGTAAAACTATTCTTGGTTTTAGAAAATCTACTAGTAACGTAGCTGTGTATGGTGAATTTGGAAGATATCCGTTGTATATAAACAGATATGTCCGAATTGTAAAATTTTGGTTTAAGATAATAAGTTCAAGTAATATTATTATAACTACAATTGTTAATTCATGTATGTCTGATATAAATATAGGGTATACAAACTGGTTTGCAAATGTACGAAGTCTTTTAGAAAAATACGGTTTTTTTTTTTTGATGTATGGTTAAACCCTTTAAGCGTTAGTCAAAATTGTTTTATTGTCGTTTTTAAACAGAGATTAATAGATGAATATTTACAAGAATGGAGAGCTAGTATTAATTGTAATGATGTATTATTTTTTATATAAATCAGTAAAGGACAGTTTTGAAATGTCACCTTATTTAGAAAATATTGTATCAAGAAAACTAAGAATAGCTTTGACAAAACTGCGTATTTCAGCTCATAATATTAGAATACAGACAGGTAGATATTCACGTGAAAGAGTAGAGCGTCATTTAAGATATTGTTTAATTTGCAATACAAATGAAATTGAGGACGAGTTCCATTTTGTGTTTTAGTGTCCTGCATATGAGAGTTTAAGAAATATATATATTAAGAATTATTATAGAAATAGACCAAGTATGTTTAAGTTTACTCAATTATTAAAAAGTGATAAAAATAAAGAAACAATTATGCTTTGTCAATATATTAATGAAGCTTTTAAATTACGATATCAGATTATTAATGCTTAGATATGTATTTCAACCTACTTTTATGTATACCTAACAAGTCCAAACTTATGAAAAGTTTGTTTGTGTATACTACTGTGTATGTAATAGCCACTATGCTTTAATATTTGTGTCATCTCTATTTTGTTTTGTCAATCCAATATAATTATTATGTTTACTTTCATGTCATTGTATTTTTCATGTCATTATATATGTATGCTTGTATATATGTTAATCACGAGAAACTTGTAGTTTAAGTGAAATAAACGTTCTTCTTCTTCTTCTTCTTCTATCTATATATACCAAGAATAATAAACCTAGCGTTAACACTTTTCTACTAATATGTTTGTGATTATATGTATGGTACCAATCTGTTTAACCATTTTTTTACTTCATTTCTTACCAATATATTGTACCAGTCTGTAATGACGTTGTTTATTTTATTTATTATTTCATGTCATATTCAGGTTGTTTGGAGGTTTAATACAGGATATAAAAAGAAAAGTGCCACATTATCTCAGCGACTTTAAAGACGCACTTCACATACAGTGCGTAGCATCATTCTTCTTTCTCTTCCTTGTGACCTTGACACCAAATGTGACCTTTGGAGGTCTACTAGGACATGCTACGGATAATCACATGGTAAGATATAAATGATTCTGTATATAAAAGGATGAGAGGTCTGATTTTCTAATAAAAATACAGATGATTACATGTACGACCTTCTTGTTTCGGTTGTGTTACTATTTGTCCGGATGGTTTACAGGAATACAAATTTATTGGACTCAGCGTGAACAATACAACCCATTAGAAGAAGGCACGGATGATTCTAGTATGATTTCTGCGCGTGCTAGGAAATTAAGCGTAAACAATTCAACCATAGTCCCTGTAAACAACTCAGTATGTGTTTTATAAATAGTTTCTTTTCATGTCCCTCAGTAAGCACTTTTACTTTGGGCTCAATTACTTATCACGATAAATGTCCCCGTCGGTGGCCTTTCATGGACAACAGAAGTATCCATTGCCATTGTCAACGCATTAGCTGTCAAACAAATCCACAGGGCCGTTGTCCTTTATAATCATTACTCCAATCGTTCTGTTTTAAATCCCATTAGTACTACCTCTTCATTGTTCTGTTTGCTGTCCCAATAGACGACCATGCCTTTGTATAACCAGTTTTCTAATCTAATTGGTAAGTTTCCTTATGAACGGTCACTGCTTGTGTCGTAAAAACTAGCATTCGATACTACGTAGTGTAATGGCCATAACACTTTTCATCATAAATGTGCCACTCATTTGTTCTAAAACTGCCCGAAATGGCCCTGCCTGTTGTTCATAAACATACGTCCTATCTTTACAATCAACATTCCTATAAACATCCATCTAAACCTCTTTTTTTGTTGTCAAAGAAAACAGTAGACACTTGGCAATTACTCTGAAAATAACATTGTGACCATTTTTCGGAAATAATAAAAAGGGAAGCATGCAAGCATTTAAATAATACGAAACCAATATGTGCTGTATTTACTGGAATTATTCCTTTTTCGATGATGTAAGTATTTTACAATTATAATGAGTTACGCTTAACAGTCTGCGACTGGCAATTACACGCCAATTTTTTTTTTTTTACTTTTTACTTTTTTTTTCAACCATCTTATCTTAAGTTACATTAACAGATCAATCATCTATAAAAAAAAAACAACAATATTCTGTGTATATCAAATTTAGGGGACAATGGAGTGTATTTTAGCGGCGGCTATATCCGGGGTTGTATTTGCTCTTTGTGCTGGACAACCATTGAATATACTCGGCAGTACTGGACCCATGCTCGTCCTGGAAGGAATTTTATACACGCTTTGCAAGTTCGTATTAATTATAATATGTCAAATGTATTTTGCCAATAAAGATTTCTACATTGTAGATAATAAGTTTAATCTTATGCCATTTGATATAGAGGATCTTGAATGAGTGTTTATGTTGTATTGAATTTATTAAACGAGTCATCTGAAAACGATAAAAACGAGGCTCTGCCGAGTTTTTATCGTTTTCAGATGACGAGTTTAATAAATTTAATACAACATAAATACGAAATTAAGATTCTATTTATAACATGACCAGAAAAAGCGCCCTGATAAACGAAGAAAATAAATTGCTGTGCCTTTTTTCTATATAAGGAGAAATGGGTCGAAGTTGTTATACGGTTTCTGACCCTCATGCGCTAAAAAAGTAGTACTAGTTAAAACAGTTTTTTAAGGAAAAACTATTGTGCTTACTGACATATAATATCACATTTATTTCGTCAAATTCATTACATGTTTTATAGCAATAACAAGACTTAATATCATTCATTTGTAAAAATATCACATTGTCACCATCTTACTCATGACGTCACTGTTCATGTGTGTAAAGTTTGATAACCGGCATCTTGCATATGAACTCGAATTTAATCACTATCGCTGTCTATGTATCGTGCACGTTTGTGGCCTGAATTTTGATTTAATTTGGAGTCATTTTGATGAACATGCACATGAAATGTTCCACCATGTATGGGAGCGCTGAAAATACTCTGAAACCCACCGGATACATGAAGATTGGACCTTGAATCGGTGTTGACATGTGCTGTGTTATGGTTTAACTGTGCAGAATTTGAACACGGATATGGAATGGGATTCGCTGGATTGTTTTCTTTTACATTGGAATGAAGGATGTCGGATATTTGTCTGTGCTGATTCTGATTTATGTGACTATAATTGTTGATGGATGCTATATTCTTATGACCGGATATTTGCATAATTTGGTTAGGAGGAATGTTACTGTCGTTCAATTTTTGAACAAGGTATTTTCGTGCACTGTGATTAGTAAGGCGTTTACTTGGACCATTCTCTTCATCATTGATCCTAGTTTGTTGATTCCGACTGGATTTCGTTTAAACCAGGTGTCACGGGGTGAAGGTAAGTGGATAGTTGTAGTTGCAATATAAAATGGATGGTCAAATTCAGAATAATTCATTGGACGTTTTTCAGCATACAATTTGTAAACGGCAATCGGGCATCGATCACGATTTACAACATTTGCCCACATCTTAGGTTTTATTACCCTCACATCTCTCGGATTTTCACCGGACCGTGTTTTGGTTTGTCTCTCCGAAAATTGTAAGTATTCATGTCCGTTATCATCGGCCATTAATGAAATATCTCCCCAGCACATATCACGGTGTTCTTGACAACTTCTAAGTCCAAAATGTATGGTATTGTACAGCCAAAGTGTTTGAAGTATAGTGTCCGGTGTTCTTGTGCCAAGTTGATCTGAGTTCCATAAATGGTCTATATCTTTGTCAGACAGCGGTTCACTTTTTTTGGCAAAATTCTGGAAACAAAGTGATCCCTCGGAAGCATTAATCACAACAAAATAACATAAGAATTGCAGACTCGGTTTGATTGAGTCTGTACATGAGTGATAATGAATAAGTGCAACATCACTCACGCCCCCTAGCACCGGCTAGTTACCCCTCCCATCTTTTTTAAGCTGTCGTTGTTTCATAGACAGTGTCTCTCGAACTTTAGCAAATCCAGGGCCCAAAGCAATGGTTTGTTCATAACCTTTTCGACGTAACTGCCGATCAAAACTAGATATCATTCCACGCAGGACTGAAGGCTCATACTCGTCTCCATTTTGCTTTCTGACACTGACTAAAAACCGGCAAAGTAATGAGGACAATTCATTTTCTGGAATTTCATAAATTTCACGATTTACGTTTATCTCAGGTTCTTCAAAGAAAGATTTCAGAATTTTCAAATCATTAACAGTTTTTATGAGAGTGTTTTTATTACTTTGCTCGTGGTTAAAGGCGTCAACATCAGAGTCAGAGACAATATTAAATCTGGACCTTGGCCGTGGAGTCTGTTCGGACATAGCGTTCATTTCGTCGGTAGGCACAATCGTCAATCTCTCCCTTTCAAGTTCAACTTCAAAGTTACTGTCAACTAGCCTGACCATGTAGCTCGTGGTGAACCCGCGGTAAACAATCTCAGTGACGATTCCAAGGCCGTGACCGTCGATTCGAACCTGATCGTTGACAGAAATGACATTCGACGCCATATTTGTTTATGTTTTTTGACAGCGCGTAGTGATAGTGATTCGGCTCATTAGCATATTTATTACACTATAGTCTGTCCCATTAAAAATGGAAATGAACTTTTGCATGGTATGAATGAACAAAACGACGTTGAATAAAAATTAAAACTTTTTTGTAAACTAAAAAAAAGTCACCCTCGAGATTTTTCAGGATTTTTCTCTAAAGTGTCAACTTTTCTTGTAAAAGCAAATTTTCATTTCTCTATGGCAAGTCTCTGTTGTTTATTTTCCGTAGCCATTGCCGAAGGATTTAGCTCAATACAGGATTGGAGCAGTACCTCTAGACGCTTGCAGAAATCATGATCACAAAATAGACAAATATCGTTTTTTTCGCTGATTTTAACATTTTTCATGCATTATCATACATAAATCAGTGTGAAAAGATGAATAAGACCTATTAAAGTTCATTCCGTTGCGTAAAAAAACAAGATTTTGGCATTTTACGATTCAAGCGCCTTGTCCGGTATATACCGGAATACGGTATTAAGTGTGGTGCTCCAATCCTTTATTTAGTCTCACTCATTGCCGAAGTACTCTTCATTTGAAGATGAACGGGAGAAAGCACGTGTCATGTTTCTAAAATGTACATGATGTTGTCGGGGTCGTTTCATGATTATTTTACAAAGCTGGATCTATAGGATGTAACAGTTTCGTTGCAATACATGATGGAAAACTTTAAAAAAAAATTAAAAAATGAATAAGCAACAAGAACATCGAGTCACCTGGAGTAGATCTAGAAATTGCACTTACTTTTAAGCTGAATAGAATCCTGAATGTCAAAATAGATCTTTATAAACGTCACGACAAATTCGCATTCTGAAGATTCCTTCATTGCCCGTAGATCCCATTTTTTACTTTGAATCTCCTGAATGGCATGGCTCCCACATTTATGATGATCCAGATTTTTTATAAACTTTTAATCCGTCTCATTATTAAAACACTGTTCCATTTGTGCAGTTATCTGGGTTAGCAAATGAAATATGTAAATGAAACACATAATGATTCAGTATGTTCCAAATCCATAATTCAAGAACGGCCCATCAATTTTAGCTGTCAACATCACAAAGTTCAGAACTCTTGAAAATGGATTCCTGACGAAAAAAACATTATTACGTCAACAACAATTTACGAAATATATATGACGTAACAAAGTGCCTCGCGCTTTTTATGGACGATTCCAGTTGCGGCATTGACAGAGGGCGGTTAGGCATATGTAACCTCAAACTTATAATTTTAAGCGTTGAGATAAATTTGTCTTCATGGCATTTAAATAATTTTTGTATACCCAGATTTGGCAGTAATTGTTAAAATAACACCTTCAATACATCTTCCATTAATTCACATATAACATTCGTTTTGATTTTATGTTTTTAAACTATTTTATATATTTCTCAGAAATGATTTCCCTACTGTACATATTATCTCGTTATTCAAGACTTCTGTAAATCCTACCCTTTTAGCTGCAAAATATACCATATGCGGTGTTTTTTTTCTCCCGCGAAAGATATAGCTATTGTTTTTTCACTGATTATTTTAAAATTTTAGGAAGGCTAAAATAATTGAGGTCATCACTCTGTGTTTCTCTTTGACTCGATCTCCCCTTCATATTAACATAGTATGTAACACGTTGAGTCTACAAAAAAAACAACAAACAAACAAACTTTTTGTCCCTTAATGAACGCTCCAATTCAACAAACTTATTCTTTTATCAAATTACTGCCGGTATTTCTAGATATTTTGTTAAATTGTGAGACGGAAAATTAAATCTGTTTAAAATTACGAGCTTAAAGTTTATAGGCCTACATTTGGTTGCTCAAACTAGAAAGCATGTTTATATTCCTATAATTTATATTTTTCCTCGCACGCGAGTCTGTGTTCTCTCATTATCAAATGAGCTAGTTAAAGTAGACACTGTGCAAACCAACAATGAACATATAGTGAATCAATTCCCCTTTCTGTATATTCCTTGTTAGACTTGCATGATAATTTAGTATTTGTTGGCGATCTCTAACGTCAGGTTTCTGTTGTGAAAGTTAAAATCTACGAAAAGGTTTAGCGCACGGACATCGCACCCGAAATAAGAAGGGTAACATATTTTTGTATCCCATCAGTCCTGGTTAATTTAATTATTTTTAAATAGACGTGATACATACTAATGGACGGAATTCAGACAACTACATAATTGTGTAAATTAAACATTAGCTTTAGTCTTCTAGTTAGTGTTCCCGTTCCCCTACGACGGGTGGCGGTATTCAAGATACGCACTTGATTGAAACGCTATCTAATCAAATCACTTCATTGGTCTTTTTCTCTTAATAATATAAAATACGACAGTATATCATGGTAATTATATAATTATATAAATCTTTGTGTGTTATAATTTAAAAAACGGCTACTGATATTTCACTTCAAATGATTTTAACATGATTATTTTAAATAATGGTTTGCTATTAAAATTGCCTTTTTGACACCAACTTCGTTCTCATTTTAATGATAACATTCAGCTATTGATCAGCAAGTAAATAAGAATAATCAAATTTTTATAATTACCGAATACATTTCACGCTAATTGTGAGACGAACCCTAAATAACGTCTGTATGGGCGCCGCCATTTTGAAATGGACGTCACGTCAGGTTACAACGTAAGTCAACGGGGAAAAATATAATTTTAACATTTTGACAATATTTCTGACTTTATGGAAAAAATGAAAAACATGCCTAGAGATATTGACGTCAGCCTTAACATGACATTAATTAAAGTGATTTTACTATTATATTTAATAAAAAATGAAATATTCAAATTTGGTGGGACAGACTATAGTGTATTACTGACCCATTTAATACGTAAAATAATGAATGGGTTTACAACACTCCTGCAGCGTGGGTCATGTTATAAATACATGTAGATGGTAATATATAAATGTTAACTATGATTTTTCTAAACAATAACCTTGTTGTATTGGTGTCACGTAAGTTCTTTTCATTCGTGTGCGCGATAATCAAACAGAAAGTGTTTTACGAATATATCTGATCATATAGAATAATATTTGTATAGACTTACATTCCATGTTTTTATTTCATGCGTTAAAATGTGTTTTCAAACCATTTCGAGTTTTAACAATGATGGCAGTTTATAAAATCTCATGTTTTTTTTCCTTTGTGTTTTTGTATCATTCCGTGTTTTATTACTTTATGGACCAGTAGTGGGATTTTCATTCTCATTACGTGACTTATTTATATATTCATTTATTTATTTATTTAAATATATTTATTTATAATTTCAGGGATCTGGAGTGGGATTTTCTGCCATTTCGTGTCTGGGTAGGATTTTGGACCGGTTTATTTATTTTAATTATAGTTGCTCTTGACCTAAGTGCATTGGTTCGTTACATCACCAGGTTTACAGAGGAAAGTTTTGCGTGTCTGATTGCTCTAATCTTTATCTACGAAGCTTTCAAGAAGACTTATGAAATAGAGAGTGAGGCACCGGTACAATTCAGTCCTCGTTCTAACGACGTAGACTGCCTATGTATAATTTATAACTCTAGTAATAGCAATCAGTTAGCTGAATCTCTCAAACATGCTCGCACGGGTCTAACATCAATGAATGTTTCCACATCATTGAATTCAAGCACGGGTTTAGAATCAGCTGCAGAGACACAATGTTCAAAGTTAAGCGGGACTATAACCGGTGAAACTTGTCAGGACAATTACGTACCCGATGTGTTCTTCTTCTCGGTGATTCTGTTTCTGGGAACATATTTCTTGGCAACAATTCTCGTCAATTTCAGACACAGTCTGTTTTTCCCAACATTTGTAAGTACAGTTGTAAATGTCTCGCCTTCTTTTTTTCAAATATTGTATCCTCTTTGTTCAGTGTACGCATCTATATAGAGTTACAACGATTCTTATTGCTTTAAGTTACCAATGTATTATGAATGATATAAGCCGCGACATGACAAAACCAACATAATGCGTTTGCGACCAGCATGGATCCAGACCAGCCTGCGCATCCGCACAGCCTGATCAGGATCCATGCTGTTCGCTTACAAACTCTATAACAAGTAGAGAAACTGATAGCATATAGCACGGATGCGTAGGCTGGTCTTGATCCATACTGGTCGCAAACCCATTATGTTGGTTCTGTCATGGCGCGGCTCAAAAATTATATCTTTACTTGTTAAGGTTAATAGGGTATGTAAGTCTCGTCATGTGACTTGCGAGATTTCACGATATTTTGCACTTCCGGGTACAAACAAATATCAACAACATTGCTTATCTATATTGGGTAATACTTGTATGCCGGTGGGAAAGTAAAACTTACACGGAAAAACAAAGGATATGTGGAAATTGGCAGAGTTTTTTGTTTTGTAACGAAATGCAAATAGTTTCATCTTGTGAACAAGTATCAATGAAAGACAACTTCGTATAATCTTCAGGTGGGTGTGTCATTTCGAATTCAGTTTATCACAATAAATGTTGTAATATTTTCATGTCCATGAATATCTAATAAATTTGTTATCTGATACATCATCATTCGCATCTAACTTCAGACTGGTGAATTTGATTTTATCAATTTTCTATAGCGCTACCTGATTATCTCTCAGAAGTATATAATATTTAGAAATTTCGGACAGCGCATATTTCGGATAAAACGTTTCAATATGATTATCGGTGTGTTTTAGTTGAATATATTTTCTTCTAACTGAAAATATTGTTTATTATTATTATTATCTTTATATAGCACAAATAGTCAAGCTGTATAGTACCAATTTAAATTGTCATAAAATTTAATGAAATATTTTGCTTGTGTAGATATTTAGACTGAGGACAGTGGTGAGATGAAAGACGTCAGTATCCGATGTAAATACACATGCATGCTCTGCTGTAAAATCGTTTTGGTAAGAAATATATACTTAAAGCTACTTCAACTACATTAATGAAAAGTAAATATTCTTGTATAACATAATGTTCTCGTTTTTGTAAATAATTATACAGTGTAGCTAAATAAACAAACAGTATGGCATATGTAGTTAATTCAGGTAAAATGCTGTTTAAAGTATTTTTCTCATTTTTTCTAAATCATGTTCAGTAAATAGTTAAAAGAACTTAGTCACTTTCACATTTTTAAAGATCAGTTGTCAAAGCAAATCTACAAAAGCTAGGACACCAAGAAGTGTTTCTTCCTTTTCAACATTATTTTCTATTCAAAACAATATGAAAATGCTTAAAATTTATAGCTGACCAATTATTATTGCTTTCAACTCGTGATAAATTTTCTTTATATGCAGGTATGTGATTTCATGGTTGGATCTTGAGTACTTGTCATGGCTCTTGATTTATTTTGGAGTATTCACCATCAGATTAGAAACCAAATAGTGATACCACCAGACATAGTTGAAAGGAAATGTCCATACACAGTCTTGGAGTACATAGTGGTAGAGACATGGCAGTCCATTACAGATTTTGACTGAATTAAAGCTTCTTAAAGCTCCATGTCTTGTGTAAACTGTCTAACTGAATGTTTGTATTCTAATAAAAACTAAGGTTGGAGACATTTCAAAGATATATGTCAGTGTAAAAATGTTAAACAAAATATCTGTCTTTGTTAGAAATAAATAACCTGTCTTTGTGAGAAATAAATAACCTGTCATTTGTAACTTTGTATTAACTTAATCATCCAAAGACAATTTATCTTCTGCAAATGGCTGTCCAAAACAGTTTCAACCAGGCATCATGTAGTTTCAAAACAGTTAAGATAAATATGTTTTAAATAGACTTGTAAGGTGACAAGAATGGTAAAAAGATAAATGATCTGCATTAAAATGTTTCTATCTTGATTGAGTTTCATTTCATACTATCACCATACATACAATCTAGCCATTGCTGTTAGAGAATTAAAGTACACAGTGACACTTATTTTGCAGATGAACCCTTATGATCAAGTACTGCTATAAATATATGCCAAATAGTAGAAACAAAAAACAGTTCATAAGTTTGATAAACTTTTATTTTTACACAATTTATAGTGCACTGCTTAGCATATATATCACACTGATATTCCAGTGGAAGAAAAACTTCAGGAAAGCACTGGAAATTATTATTAGTTATTTAGACAGTGTAACTTTACACTGTGAATGTCTACTGATACAAGAATAAGAATATTTCCTTTTACAAATGTAAAGACTTTGAAAATTAACATGAACAAATTTTCATAGAGTTATAAATCATATTCTAATTAAAAAATGGTCAGCTTGATATCAAAGCTTTGAATGCAAATTTGTGAGCTTGTCAATGATTACCTCACAATATTAGTAGTAGATGATATGTAATTTTTTTGCTATTTCTTTTTCATCTTTACTTCATAGTCATTTAATGTCCATAATGACATATGACTTTACTGTGATTCCATGAAAATTCCTAATCTCTGGTGTGTTTTCTACTTTGGTATATATAGAGTAACTATCTACATGTAGTTTTAATACTTAAAACTGCAATGAAATGTGGATATTTTACTCTGTTTCTATCATTGTGACATTAACAAGTTAACAAGATTATGGAATCATAGTGTCAAACAACATAAAATCATACTCTTTTACATTAAGATTTTTGTGCTGGATGTCATTCATCTTCTTCAGGAAAGTACATTTGACTTATCTCAATGGCTTATATTAAACTAATATTTCACAGTAACTGTGTGTTCTCTGATATCATTCTCAAATTAAGGAACTGGAAGATGGTAGTTGCAATAAAGGTCTTCATGGACAAATTCTCCTTCATCTTTTTCCTTTTTATCTGCAAAATGAAAAATCAAAAACTATGTTGTTACAAATGTAAGACCTGAATATATTTCACTGAGTAAAATACTAGAAATGATATTTACATTAGTCTTAATAAGCTGGTCATGATTAAATTTCATATTTGAAGTAAATAAACATTAAAGATAAACAACAACACATAATATATAACAGTCAAAAATATTGATCTTCTTGAATGTGAAACATGACTGTTTTTCATGTTTTATTTACTTATCAATTATCATGCAGTGAAATCCAAAATTATTAAAATATTTTGATAATTGTTTATCTCTCCGATCTCAACTAAAAATTAAACAATTATTTTACATGTATTTACCTTTGATGTATAGATATTTCAGGATCATAGGCAGTGCAAACAGTTGATTAATGGTCCATAGTGAACAACTGTATATTCTATACTTGTCATATACCTCCCTGTCTACACATCTGAAATGTTTTATTCAAATATTAAATTTTTTAATTCAATCATAATTTGCTAGGTACCATATTAACATGTATATATAATTGAAAAAGGAAGAGAATAAAAAAAAGAAGTGTTAGTGCCTTGATACTTTTCTCCATAGTTAGAAATGGAACAATACTATTAAACTTTTAATAAATCTATGATCTATCCATCTAATTTTTATTTAATAATCAAAACTCTTACTTGGGACCTGGGTTTTATTATACTAATGTAAGTAATTGAAATCTTGATAAAATGGAAGGGAAGAAATATCCGAATTACTGTGCAATGTCCGAATTTTGTATAACTTTAATATACACTAGAATTAAAGTGTTTCTCCATTGTTTATTTCAATAAGTTAAAATGGTTTGAATAAATTTCTCACATCAGTAGTTTTAAAACAATACTAAACGCTAAACAACTAGAATTCACTAACTTGACAAAACATCCGAAACAATTGTCACTATCCGAAAATAAACTAGTTTTATTAAACTTTATAAATCCCTCGTTTTTCCGTCAGATAATTGACCTACCTGCATTTTTTGACCCGTGCTTTCCATTCCTTCAAATCTGAAGAGGACCGAAACAAATTTAACTTCTATATCTCTCGAGTTCTTCGGGTTACCTATATGCGTAACGGTAAATAAGTCTGCCGATGTACCCGGAAGTGGTAAATCGAAAGTGAAAGTAAACGAGACTTACGGGCCCTATTGGCTTATTACATAAGACATTTACTTTAAACTAAGAATTTCAATTATCCGAGACTGATTTATGACATGAATGAATTGTGTTAATATATAAAATAAATGACTATTGACGGTTGTCTGGGTAATTTCCTTCTTTTTAACTTGATGAAATTAAGCACAAATTAACCAACGGATGTTGATCCGGACTTAGTTAAATGAATTCAAACGTAAAGTAGCCGAGAGTTCAAAACGCTTTACACTACATTGTAATTCTCATATGTCTACTTGGATACTACAACCAGCTAAAAACAGTTTATTTTTTTATTTTTCTTAAGACATATTAAAAGACACTAATTTCTCTAAACAGGAAACATTTTAACTTGTATTTTGTTTGTTGTAGGTACGACAAAATGTTAGTGACTTTGCTGTTCTAATTTCCATTGTTGCCATGGTTACATTAGATGCTGTATGCGATCTTCCTACACCAAAACTTCATGTACCTGAAGAATTCAAGGTATGGTGAGCATTGACACTTTTGATAAATAACAATAAAACAATAAGATAAAATGTTAACAAATTAATAATAATGAAAATAACATGTGTTACGAGGCTATCTGATTTGTACGAGGGGGCGTGGACCACGAGTATAAATCAGATTGCCGACTGTTTTGATGTCTCTTTGTATCCTAGGCAAAAATAAAAACACATTTCCTGTTGTCACAATATGAAACCCCAGAAAAAAGTATTCAATAAACGAACATCGGAATTTCTTTTGCTATCCCTTTCCCTGCCGTTATAATCAGAAAACCCCAGAAAATAGGTATGCTCTGGAGTGCGGATAACTAATACCTGCACCCCAGTTAACGCACTGTGAATGTATATGTGTACGAATTAACTCTGAAACATTTTCAACAAAATTAAGGTTCCCAAACTATGATACATCTCCGTCCTACCCTTGTCATATCCTGTATGTTGAATGTAGATAGTAATATGGAGATATCATTGGTGTAAAAACATTGGAAATATAAGGTTCACATGTAGCTTTTAAGCAATTAAAACTGTATGATTTTGTTTTAGCAATTTAGGAATGAAAACATCATGTATACACAATAATTTCATATCAAACATGCTGTTTACATGCTTAACGCACCAAGTTTTTTCATTATTTCTCCAACAACGATGATATATTGCCAGGGAGAACTTCTGTAAAGGTTATCATGGTTATAGCAATATCGATTTGATGACAAATGTTTATTTTAGACTTACTAATGACGTCATTGTCCATTAACACAGTCATTAAAATACCGGATATACTGACAGCTTTTAGCAAGGTGTTTATATTGTTTTATATGATACATTTATATATTACTAAGATTTTGAATGTTGTTTCATAGATTGGTATCATCATGATATCATAATATGATCAGTACATCATCATCATCATCACCATCATTTTCTTTATCATCGTCATCACCAGTGAATCACCAGCATTATCATCATCATCTGTATCATCATCATCATTATCAATCGGAAATATTGAAATCCATTCCTTACAATTTAAAAGGCCTCAAATTTAAGCAAGTTATATTAAGAAAATCTCTGAGGATTTTTGATGTTATACTATTTCTTATCCAACTGTTTAAAACCGAATGAGAAAAATCTGATCAATCTTTTATAATGAATATCCGACTTTATGTAATTTATTACATATATAATAACAATGATATTATGTGTTAATAACGATAATTATGGAGGTGGTTATAAGTATTGATTTTATAATGTTGATGATGATGAAGAGGGACGTGATGATAGCTATGATTTTGATGATGAAAAGGATGATGATGATGATGATTATGACAATGATGATAAAGATTAAAATTATGATTTTGATGATGAAATAGTGATAAAAATTGATGATGATAATGTTTATAATGATGATGATGATACAGGCGATGATTATTATGTTGTTGAAAATGAAGATGACTTTTCATGATGATGATGAATATAATGATAATTAGATTTTTGATGATGATGGATTCGGTGAAGACTTTGACGATAATTGACTAGATGATGATTTTAATGCAGATGATTTCTTAAAGGTGATGATAGGAGTATTAAGGATTTTGATGATGATGATGATGGTGATAGAAACGATTGTTATAGAAATGATGATTTTAATTTTGATGATTGTTATGATGATGATTTTGAAGACGATGATGACGGATGTGATGCTTTATATGACTATGATGATAACAGTTATGTGAATGCAGATAATGATGATAATTATGATAGTGATGATGATATAAGAATTGGTGGCCCTATCAGCAAAGAAATTTGCAAGGCAACATTGCCTTGGTGACAGCATTATTTAACAAACTTATTGACCGGGAGGCTTAATTTGTTTAAGCGAAGCATCACTTTTTAAGCCGAGGCATGTCGTTAACAGATAATAACAGGTACAACACGATGGATAATGCTATCTGGACAGCTACATCCGTCGAGAGCTTAATGCGGCGTAAAAGAGCTTATTTTGAATCATTCGGAAACATTTAGTACTGTAAAACGTTTTATTATAAACGCTGTATGGTCCTTTTAAACTCACTTATAGAATGACTTACTCATTAGTCAATGCATAGTGAGTGTACATAATATATGGTGGTAGACTGGTGGTTGTGGTGCTTTTCACTCCGGATCACGTCAGTAAGCCGCATTGAATTTACTAGAGCACAGTTCAGCCACCACGATCGTTCCTGGACAGGCTGTCAGACAGTTTACCAATCTTAGTTACACTTTTGTAAGAAACTGAGACTTCTGTTCTTACCAGAGCAAAGGTACAGTGCGGATGACTGTAGAAAAGATTTCATGATCAATCACAACAAAAGTGTCCTGCACCGTCCGGGAATCGAACCCGGTTTGCCCGATTCACAGTCCAACGGTCTACCTATTGAGCTAACTGGGCGGTTAAACATAATATATAGGCACATTGCTTATAACAAACAAAGAACAACCATTAAGTATTATATTTATATTTATTTTTGTAAGTTTATATTCGATAAAAATAAATATTGACATGCAACATAACTTCACATGAATAAACAGATGAAACCATATCTATTAAAGGTCATGTCATATATATGGTTTCAAGAATTATAACTAGATTAATAAAAAAATGAAATAGTACAAAGATGGTGGTTAAAAACAACAACTTTCTTAACAATTTAACAGTTGCTACTGTGATACATATTTACACTTTCACGTAATACGCCTATATATATACTTTCATGTGATACAAATATATACTTTCATGTGATACGCATAAAAAATTTACACTTTCATGTGATACGCATACATACTTTCATGTGATACACATTTACACCTTCAAGTTATACAGATGTATGAAAGCCTCCTATATAGTTTATTGTGTGTAACACTGTCAGTAATGAATCAATGTGGTGCTTTTATCACTTAGCAAAACAACATCTATGACCAGTGCGCTACATTAGATCTACAATGTACAATCTATATCAATTTCGCTATAAGAAATCCATGACAATGCCGCAATGTGAAGTCAACGGCGACCTTGCTTCCCTAACTATATGGCAATTCCGCAACATGAAATATATGGCAATGGATCTCTATATAATCTACGGCGTTTCCATTTCATGAAATGTATGGCAATTTCGCTACATTAAATCATGATTCCACGTCTGTCAGTCCTTCATATCATACAGTATTATGGTCTTAAATGATAAATACCGGAACGTAAAGTATATCTCCCTGCTCCATGTTATTGTTATAATCGTTCGTAACAGAATTATTCTTATGTATATACATAAAGTCACAATCTCGGCGTAAGAAAAGGCCAAAACACGGTTTCAAAAGACGCCTGTGAAAACACAATTTGTTTTTCAATCTCTTGTGGCCGATATTCAAAACTGCTGCGACTATATTATAAAATGTCAGCACCCGCATCACCACTGATCCGATCTTTCAGAAATTATATCGTGCTTGGCATCAATGAATTTTTCCATTCAAGTGTATCCTGAAGACTTTTTGCTTCAAACATAAATGAGTCCCCAGGAGATGACATTTTGACGGCAGAAATAGTTATTTTGTTTGATCGTTCGTCAACTGAAACCACACACTTTTTTAGCCTCAGATACCCGTGCATTTTTGTAAAGCCGGAGTCCGAGTATATATGTGCGTGATGATCCTGCTCGCTGCGGAATACTTTCATGTACATTCTATGTTTCACTGTCTTGTTATTTGTGGAAAGTAAAACAACAATTTCTCCTGAGTTTACGTCAATACGCGAACTAATAGCATCCCTTCTTTTAATACATCTTTCATACACAGCTAAATCTCCGATATGAGTGACCACCATTCTGAGTGTATTATCCCCACACAGATATACTGCTTCTGAAAATTGATAGCTCAAATTTATAAGACAAAGTTTTGATGTTGCAATGCCGCATGCAATACTCGTAATAACATTTGTTGAACGCAATAGATATTTTTATATCACTAAGAATAGGTTTATTTACGTATTAATAGCGGATGTTTACCAGCATTTACGTATACAGTCAAAATAAAAGTCAGACCAAAATATACCCAGTGCTAATATACATTATCGCTATTCTATATGAATTTCTAATGTAAAGTTAAGAAGCGACCTTCACATTACTGGGCTTTTCTATTATTAAACTATTATTTTTGTATTTGTTAGCGATCTAAAAAAAACTTTGAACGTAGTCTAGCGTTAATATTCATTCATAAAAAAGAGAACACGAAAAAGGAAACAATATATAAAAACATTCTAAAAATTGAAGGAAGCGATTGTATTTTGACCATTTTATTATTACTTCTTTGATTATACATGGCATTGAAAAAATAACAATAAACAACAAAAAAAAATAATAAACAAAAAAAATAACCCTAAACCCCCCATCCCCCCGAATTTTTTTTTAAAAAACATAAACAAAATATAAACAACAAACAAAACAGCAAACAAACAAAAATCTTTTTTTTAAATATTTATCTATTTTCTTATTTATTTAACTTGATATGTTATCAATATTGTTAAAAAATATAAAACATTTCATTTATGTGTTTATGATTTAATTGGTTAATTTTATATCTGAGTAATACAAATCAATGCACCAAATAAAGTTATAGCAAGATATTGATCCGCCGGTACAATTTTTATAATAAAGTAAAACACGTATAAAACACGAAATGGCTAATCTCCCTTGAATTTTTTTCACCGTCGGGAATCAAAGACAAGTTTATCCTGTATACATGAACGTGCATGGGTAATAAAAAAATAACTAATATAAATCTGTTCAAAACCTAATGTGACAAGTATTTATAAGAGTTTGATTTACACACAGAAGGTGGGGAAGAAATATTTATATGGAGGTAAGGACAGGTAAAAATTGATTGTGATGGGTTGATAACAAATAATTTTGAGAACATAAAGGAAAACTGTATTTTAAAATGTAACTTAAAACAATCATGCTGCCCTTTAATATAGCATAAAAACAATTTTTGGGAAAATGTAATATTGCTTCAACATAAAATTGAGAACTTTTAGCAGTAAACAAGTTGTTTTGACAGTGACGTTAATGTTGACTTAATAAACGTATGATACCATTATAGTAAACGGTTTCCAAGAAAAAAAATAAAAAAAATAATACAATTTTGTTTTACAAATTGTTAACATATGATTGACATACTTTTATTATGTCTCCTTGTAGCCAACCAAACCTGGGCGACCTTGGTTCATTAATCCAATAAGTGACAAGAATCCCTGGTGGTTAATACCACTGAGTTCACTTCCGGCTCTATTGGCAACTATACTGATATTTATGGATCAACAGATCACGGCTGTTATTGTGAACAGGAGCGAAAACAAGTTGAAGGTGAGAACTTTTTTATTATTAGACGTCAGGATAGGTGTAATAATAGGTTCGGCATTTTTCATTATTCAATCATTGCAGATTAATCACAAGCTGTGATAGTATTTGGAACCAAGGTCATAAACAGTGAGACGTATAGCTCATTACACAATGTTATAAATAAGGAAAGGGGAGGATTGTGTAAAATGGTTACAAAGGGATTGATCTTATTTAGCCGAAAGCCATCTGTGAACGATTTGACTTCCTGTAAAATGACTTCCTGTTAAATTTTACAGGAAAGAAGTGAATATTATTAGATTTTAATTGGTCATTTTAATCCTTCGGAACCGTGCCAATTTATTATATGTATTCTACTATTACATCGAGCAAGCACCTTAATCCAAGCGGTCAGGGACCAGATTCAAAACAAAAATTCCTGTTCATGGTGTAAAAATAAGAAATTAGACAGCTTTTTGTCCTTCCGCCATATTGTGATCATGCTGCCGCCATACAGCTCACATTCCCGCCATATTCAGACCATTCTCCTGCCATTCAGCCATATTCGGAACATACTTCCACCATTCAGGTCATGCTCCTGCCGCCAATCAGATCATACTTCCACCATTCAGGCCATGCTTCTGCCGCCAATCAGATCATACTTTCGCTGCCATGAAGACCATTCCTACGCCATTTAAATCATACAGTAAGTTCATTGAGCTCTATGTGAGTATCACAAGAGGGATTGTATATGACTAATTTTTATTATCAATAAATGATAACATGGGATGGAATGGGATTGTTTTTTTTACAAGAGATATGTACATGTTCAAAGATGTTGAGACAAAACACAATCGTATATGTACAGATAACATTTCATTATAGCCACTTTTGTACTCATTTTTTTCAGGCAAAAATTATTTCTTTACAAATGTTACAAATTCTTTCTCAAAATCTACAGGTTCTGATTGTGTTAAATGTAACATCATTTTCATTTGATCTTGTTACACAATTTGGGAAGATCCGGGTCTTTTGCTCCTTCATAAACTAACACATTATACAATATAGTAATTAATAAATAATTTATATGTTAATGAATACATAAAACATAAATATATGAAATATATGATATATTATCCATATATGACAACTTCGATTTTATAGAAGGTATTCCATTTTTTTTTATTATTTTGGTCTGGTAGATTCACAAATAGAAATTATACCATATCTTTTAATAAACACTCTAAATTGTTTAAGTTTGTACAAATCAAACAGAAAAAACATCTAATTGTTCAAGTAGGTAATTTACGATCTGACATTAAACTGGTTAAATCAGGAGTTCCTTAAGGATCAATTCAATGTTAAGGTGGTGGGTGGGGGTATGAATAACCTTTAGTGATAGCCCTAAATATTTTAAGTATATGTGTAAATTTTGTATGATATAGGCACATACTACGAAACCCGCAGGGGAATTTAGGAGCATTTTGAAACTGATTATAAAATTTGACGTTATGAAAATACACTGAGTATCCTGAGCCATCGAGCTTTTATTCCCTACTGCTGGTAGCACATATGTTAGATATTTGTTCTGTTATATTTATGTCTTTGTTATACATGATTTGTGTTTTGTTATATTTGTGTTTTGTTATATTTGTGTATTGTTATAGTTGTAATTCGTTATATTTGTGTTTTGTTATATTTGTGTTTTATTACATATTCGTGTGTGACACAATATAATGTACATCAATATCGTTTACCCATACGATTAGTTGATATTTTTGTGATCTAATATCGTCACGATTTGTTCCGTGTGATTTTTGTTGATAAAATTTTTCGTTTTAACAATATAATTATTTATACGTGACTTTGTGAAGTTTTTTTTGGTAACGTTATATAGACAGATCATAATGTGGACAGATATGCTAAGATTTCTTTGTCGCTATGTTAGAGACAAACACCGGCATCACATTATAACAGTATATTTACTGTGCGCGCTACGAACTGCGGAGTTTCTTGACAGTGTGGTAGAATTTTGCCTTTGACTGTCTTTCGGAATTGCGATCTTTCTTTTTACTTATTTTAAAAACTAGATAATTACATAATCTCAGTATTTACATATATATGTATACTGTTTGTCAGGATGACACCACCGGTCGACACTTATTTAAGACAAAATATATCAGTTAACTTGACCGGAAAGTTAACATTTCAGGTTCGATAATTTTACTCTCTAATTGAAATAGGAAAAATTGTAATTTTAACTACATAGAGAAAAGAAACAACTGGCTGTTTTGATGAAATGTATTCAATAAACAAGATAACTCTTCAAATAAAACAACTTTACATACAGGGTGGAAAAGTGATGTTATGAAACAGTGAAAAATTATTTTGAACAAGTGATAACCAATTTTGCAAAATGTGATTCTGAATAGAAATAATTGAAACTGATACTAAAATAGCACAAAGAATAAACAAATGGCAAATTACATTTAGACAAGCAAGGAAAACTGCTAAAGTTGACATGAGTTCACTTAAACTTAAGTTCGTTCTGTTTCTTATTAAATGTAAAATACTAAATTACAGAAGTAAAATAAGATGAAGAAATAATTTCAGCTATATCTACATTTATAAAAATAAATTCAAGTTTATTTACAATAAACCTAGTTTGAGTGTTTCTCTATTAAAAAGTTATTTGAATATTACTTAATTTGAGACAACAAATAACTGAGATCAGGGAAAGCGGTTATTCAGCTGAAGAATACCAGTTGGCTAATGGGAGGCTCACAGGTCCACCGATCAGGCTGTTCAACTGTATATTCTCATATAATACAACAGACAGTGTTGTAATCTCAGTGGAAAACAATCACTTTTCTGTTATATAAACAGTGACAAAGTCCCTGTTACAAAACTCTGATCTCAATAAGCTTCTAAATTTATGCAAAAGATATGAAAGGAACTAATTAAGTTTAATTAATTAACTAAATGCCAAAAATATAAACCTATTTTCCTGAAGTTTCCTAGTTGTTCCTTTCTTTTAAAGTTATTATTCTAAGTGTTGCCAAAATTCTGTTGAAAACAGGGTCTGTATCCCTATTTATGACACAAAAGATGCTGCCAATCAGAAATGACCCTAATGGAACTTCCTTTACATAGGTTGTGTAAGATTTAGCATAATTACTAAATTAACATATATTTGCAAACAAAAATGTATTTTTTAATTTAACAATATGTATTTACAACAAACAAATACAAAACAAAGTGATAATGAACATAATGAAATCAATAAACAATAAAACATTGACTGATTGTTTGCATAAATTCCCTACAAATAATGGAACAAACTTTGGGTTGATCTAAGTGGTCTAAAAGAGGTTATTCAGGTTTAATTAGTCAAATCTATAAATAGAACAGAACAGAACTGTTCTGTTCTGTTTAATTAGTCAAATCTATAAATAGAATTCTGTAATTATCACTCTTAAAATGACAAATATATAATCAATATATACTAAAGAATTAACTTATCTTATTTCTAATACTAAATTTCTAATAATTAATGATTAAAGTAAGTAAAATGTGCAAAACAAAAGTGATACATGATTCATCCCTAATTCTATAAATAGAATATCCCTGGAACTTTTGTGAAAGTTGTCCCAAAAAAGTAGTTCCCTTAGAATGTGCTCAAAACTCAATATTATTTACATAAAATACAGAATTATTAAAGATACATAATATTTATACTGTGAAAAATAAAAACACAAAGAAAATCATCATTAGAATACTTGAATACTTGTTAAAATGATGAAAATAATTAGCCCTTATTTAGCTAAACAAGAGTGACCTCCCTTCCCTTGTTGTCAAGGGAACCTGTAAGACTTAATCATGATTATCTCCCTTGATTATAATTAGATATCTACTGGTATTGATTAAAAATAAATGAACAATGATGTAACTTTAAATTACAAAATATGACATAATATTTACATATTGCAGCATAATCAGATGAATAGATTCCTAACTTTACCACAACAGGATTTTGTTTTATCTGAAATTTAAAGAAAGAAACGCATACCAAAATTGAAAACATGATTAATGGCATACCAAACAAGTGATATTACAAACTTTATCAGGCAATGTTAAGCGCAGCTCTTCCATTAAAGCAATCTCTATTTATCATGATATGAATGGTCTCCCTTCTTTTATGATATGAATTATCTCCTGTCTTTACCTCTAACTTAAACATATACATGTATATTTATTTAATTGACAGAAAGGTTGCGGATATCATCTCGACATGCTAGTTGTTGGTATTCTAGTGGTGATACTAGCCTTGTTAGGATTACCATGGTATGTTGCAGCTACTGTTACTGCCCTCGCTCACGTGATGAGTTTGAAGAAAGTTTCAGAATGCACGGCTCCCGGTGAAAAACCAACTTTCCTTGGTGTAAGGTATGTTTCAAACTGAATGTTTCATGCTTTTGGATGTACAATTTCTTCAGACATGCCTTGCTTGTAATCAGTTGATGTGAACGTAATTTTAACATTTCACTTTACATTTCCTATCTGTCTTTATACGTTTAGGGTATTTCATGCTGCAGTAATAATAAACAGGTGAGCGTTACATACTGTGGTTGCGCAGCGTAAAATCCAACCAACATATATATAGACAAATCTAACAAAAAAATCGGCACACCGCAGCCGGTAACCACTGGTCTCTGGACCGTTATAATTGAACTTGTACATTTTAGTTATTTTTATCTTTATTGTGACGTTATCATTTTTATAACCATAGCGACAATTCTTTTTTTGTCTCAAACGCTAACCTGTTTTATTAAAAAATACTTTTTCTGTAATGGTATTTTTAGCGGTTTGGTGCTGTGATAAAACGTTTTATCACATACCCGTGTCAGTAAAATGGTATTGCACTTTAAAAAGTTTAAGTTTGGGTATGTGATAAAAAGAATACTATATTCTTGTAGATAAATGAACTTACATTCCTTTAATATCCTCTTTGTCTCGATACTGAAGCAATGTTCCTCTGGCCGTAATCAACTTTACTGTGTACGTCAAGTACCTAAATATGAGTTATAACTATCTTGATAATGAAACCTTGACAACCTTTCTTTCTTTACAGCAAAGGTCACGTGTAACTACATTAACGTGACATTATGCCCATCCAAGGGTATAAATGAGTGAACAAGTGAATGTCAAAATAAGTTTTCATTTTGCCATAATTCCTTTCAATATAAAAAATTATTTCACATAAACAATAAACAAAGCATGGATCCAAATGATTTATTAGAATTTACCTGTAACGTTCAGTTCATAAAAAGAGTTGGGCAGTCTTTTAATATTTTAGGCAGATTTAAATTTTATCCTCAAGATTTTCCAATATGAACCGTTGGTCAATCAACATTTTAACAGTCAATCTTTTGAGATAAATAGACAGTTCAGCGCAACTTGACAATGAAAATATGAGCATAATGTCACTTTAAATCCGTATTATTCCGAACTTATTATTGTTATCCAGCGAGTAGTTCCGTATAGTGTCGGGATAGAAAAAAGAAAAAATAGAAAGAAAAAGTTCTTTAAATTACTTCGGGAAAGTATGGTCTGAACATTGATGCCTTAATTGTTTGAAAGTGTCTGAACAAAATTAGTCGCGTTATTTTAGGGTTACCTATAAAGGTCATTATTTAAGCGTTTATATCAGGTGTTCATTTAACTTTTTCAGAGAGCAGCGAGTGACGTCATTGCTGGTCGCTATATTTAGTGGGCTGGCAGTTTTATTTACTTCTGTTCTTAAAGTGAGTACATGTATATACACTTATTTAATTAGTAATAAATTTGATAAACATGTCATGTAGACGTGTATTGCATGAACATGTATTGCCCAGTTTATATATTTGCATAAAATCTTTCGGTTAGTGCTGTTTTTTTCCATTTATTTTTTGAAGTGAAAAACAACATTGTTATATCAAACTGGTTTTTGCCTTATAAAACCACTCACTCTTTTCTCAGGTGTTACCTATGTTTTTTAATATCAATTACTCGGCCGTTTACATTAAGGATCTCTAACAAAAACTAGAATACAAAGAACGGATATGGTATGGTTCAACATGCAAACAAATAGCCTAAAAAATACGCTTTTTAAAAATAAGTTAAGATATTTTAGGAAACCGAAAGTAAAAAATGTATGCCTTTTGATTTTATCTCTTAGCTTTTTTTTATAATTGTTAGTGTATTTTTAAATTCTCATTTAGCTTGTCAGATATATTTTCCAATCGTAATATGAATAAAAGAAGGCTTTGTGTTTCTTGAAAGTTTCGACTATATTAGTATTGAAAACATATTTGTGACTTCAGAGATATAAATCATGTGTATTCTTTAAGTTTTGTAAACAGAGAACAAATTTATCATATTAAGCGTGTGTCAAATACTATAGATACACAGAATTGCCTGAGTCACCTATCTATTGAGTGTTATTTACGTTTACTGCCCCCCCAAAACCTCACTTATTCCCTCGGGTGTATATAAGATACACGTCATCTTTGTCCAATGAAAATCGAAGACAATAAATGTGACGCCGCTGAAAATTGACCCTATGTGTCATTTTACAACGTTGAGAATCGACCCTGACAAAAATTCAGCATATTCAATATTGATGAAAGTTGTTTAGGATTGATAAATGGTTACTCTTTGATAAAAATAGGGTCATTTATTAACGGTATGTTAAATTTTAGTTAAACTTATAAATTGTATTAGAGAAACGTTAGAAAGAACTAGAATCTTTCAAAGGCGTCATAAAAATTATTTAGAATGAGCGTCTTTTCTCCTGATTAGGGGAAATAACCGTTGTTGTAAACTACAAACTTTTCGCACCGGTTTCTTCCCTTGATCAGTACAGCACATAGTTTTTACTCAGTTAATCTATATACCGTGTAGTTGACAAATTCTCCATCATTACTGATACCAGTATCTATAACGTTACCTGTTCTACACAATGACATATTGCATGTTCTATATTATACATGTAATGAATATGTCTATTTAAAATATTGTAACTAAACCGTCTGTTGTATCTCACATAATGTATATAAACCATTTTTTGGTACTTAATAACTTGCATTTTGTTTCAGCACGTGCCGATGCCTGTTCTATATGGAGTATTTTTATACATGGGAGTAGCACCTTTGGCAAATATGCAGGTAATTCTAGATCACATGTTACAGTAAATTAAATGAAAGAAAATCCGACCGGATTTTCCGAAAAATTCTTAAATTGACGCTTTTTTCAACAAGAAAATGCATACAAATACATATTAAGCATGTGCTTATGTATTTCGACATTTTCAGAAAAATTGAAATTCCCCTTGCAATAAATAAAAATGTTGGACAAAAATCCAGTTGTAATTTAAGTTATTCCGCCCGGACAGCATAATTCCGGGCAGAATACACGTAATTCCGCCCGGACAAATTTTTTAAAACATTTTTTTTTATAAAAAAAGAATTTAAAATAGCATTAAATGAAGTAAATTAATCATAATTAACCTTAACTCTATCAGCTGAAATGATTTTCAAGTGTTTAGGGCAAGTTAAAATGGTAGTGAAGTTTGCCACTTTTCCGGTGGTGCAAAGATTTTCCGGTGGCTGTTTGCAATCAAACCCATACATTTATGAGAGTTTGTTGTACTTATTTTTAAGATTTCTAGCTAAAAGGTGAAAAGTATCAGCTTTAAGAAATGTCCTATATAGAGTTCGGTCTGCTTGCATATCAAGTGTCATTTTCTTCACTAATTCTGTTTTTGAATAAAAGTAAACAGGACAGTGTTTTCAATTGAAAATGATACATTATCATTGTTATGTCCTAACATAACATAATTCATCTCGTTCGATACATTCAGTATGATACTTATATTAAATTTTATTTATTGTTTTAACCAAACAAACAAAAAATATGTTTTTTTTTTCTCTTTCCAGTTGATTCAGCGAGTTCTTATAATATTTATGCCAACCAAATATCAGCCAGACTACCCCTACATCCGAAACGTGCCTATAAAGCGTGTGCATCTGTTTACATTGATTGAAGTGATTTGTTTAGCGGTACTTTGGGTTGTCAAAAGTGTCAAGGTCATATCCATTGGTTTTCCTTTAATGGTAGGTAAATGGAAGGTTATTTCATCAAATTGATTGATTTTATATTGCTGGAAGGTAAATGTTTACATTTGATCATGTTCATTGGTTTTATTTTAATGGAAGGTAAATGATAGGTTATTTCATCAAATTGATTGATTTTACATTGCTGGTAGGTAAATGTTAACAATTGATTATGTTCATTGGTTTTCCTTTAATGGTAGGTAAATGAATTACATTTCATTAAATTGATTGATTTTACATTGCTAGTAGGTAAATGTACACGTATTAATAACTTTCATTATAGTGTATTAGTATATTTATTTTATAATGACGCAAACATTAAACGGACCGAAGCCGAGACACTCCACATGTAGGGTGTAGTTTTATAAATTAAACGTCAATGTTTTTTGTTGCTATTGTTGTTGTTTTAGTTGTTTTTTTTCGGTTATTTTTGTTATTTTTTTTACATTAAATCATCAACTTTTATTTTATTTCAAACTGATAAGGTCAACTTTCTTTTGTTTCTTTACATGTTTAAAACATCGTCATTTTTTTATTCAATATACTTATAGAACGATTATCACAGTCTTTTTTTCCTGACTGATATGATATAGCACATATTGTGTCTTTTGTTGCCATATGGAACTATCATAAAATTATCTTTCGTTAGACTTTGTATCGCTACACAGTCTTCAACATATTATCATACTATGTTTTATTCTCTGTTGTAAAAGAATGTGTGCCCGTGGTTACTAATTATCAAATCACCACATGTCTGCAAATTTACCTGTCACACACATGTCTGCAAATTTACCTGTCACACACATGTCTGCAAATTTACCTGTCACACACATGTCTGCAAATTTACCTGTCACACACATGTCTGCAAATTTACCTGTCACACACATGTCTGCAAATTTACCTGTCACCTGACAAACAAAAGTCTGATACATAATCAATGTAATTATCAAATTTCAATAAAAAAGTAATCCAAGGTAGTCTATATATTTGCTTAAATACGTAAACACAATTTCTCTGGAATCAAGTGCAAACTTTCATTTTGCAACACAGTATGTTACTCATTTGCAAAAATTTTGCTTAAATCTCATTGTTGTTTTTTCATGCTTAAATTTAAACCATTCATCATAATATTATTATACTCATTTTGTTAATAAGTATAATTTATGTTTAAGGTATTGATAATATGTTTCATACGGAAAGCATTGGATAAAGTCTTCACCCAAAGAGAATTAAACTGGCTAGACGACATTCTTCCATCAGCAAAAGGTTCACAAATAGTACTGTTTGATATCAAAGTAAGTCTTCAGAAACTGAGAGAATGTAATTCACATTTTAATTCAATAATACTAAATTATTCTTTTCCTGTTTTTTTAAAGAACGAAGAACATCGGAAAATAGTTCCCCTTTGGCGGGACATGCTTGTTTTAAACAGACTAAGGGCAATAAAATTTATCATATTGTATATTTATCGTTATTCAGCAATAAAAATATCGGCATGTTATCAGTTTCCTAGAATCAATTAAATTGTTTCCAGCAATACATGTACAATAGTATTTCGCACTATACTATTACTTTCAGCAATGCCATATTCATTTAACTAAATTTCTAATCACGATCACAAGAGACTTCATGTTACCTATGAAAAATAAACGAGTTAAATAAATACATTGTCATATTTGTGTCACCAACCAATTATGTTACCAATCAATTATGTTACCAATCAATTATGTAACAAATCAATCATGGATGCAAGCAACACTCACTAAAACCGAATGTTAAAATAGTCATATCATGTTATATCGTGTTAATCTTACAAAAGCATATTATTTGGCTATTGAATCATCAATTATTTCTGCCATACATGTAGAACATATTCAAATTTAAGGTTGACGAGGAGGAAAAAGAGACAGAAGAAACACAGAAGGATTTGATAACTTCCAACAATGTACACACTATGATTGGTATAAGTAATGATAGTAAAGATCGGGACAGACGAGCAAGCTCTACGTTCATATGTAAGACTGATATTGACAAACTAAAGGCCACTGCACCACTTGCTGTAGCAAACAGGCGGCAATCTCTGGCAATGGCGGCTAAACGTAGACAATCAACTGGAGTTATTGACCACATGGAAACTTTTCGAAAGTTTTCTACTCCTCTGATGTATACTCGCAGGCTATCTACAGATTTATCTCACTTTCATAATGGCGGTTTAGGGTTAGAAAGACAGCAGAGAACTAACCGCTTAATGTCTCTACCGTCTACAATGGTGGATGTCACAGAAACTGACCAGGAATATCTTTACACAGACCCTGACACTGAATGTCCGCCAACAATAACTAAATTTTAACAGATATCGGAACATCAATTTCAAAAAATATCTCAACAATCTAGGTGCTATATATCTATGCAAAACTGTTCTTTAGAAAGGTCAGTTAAAAGAATGATACCATCTTTTTAAAGGTCACTATAAGCAGTGTATTTGACATACTTTGCAGTCATACAGGCTAAAATTCTACTACCCTCAGGTTAAATAGAATCTTTACTCTGACAACAATCCCTGCATACTTAATTAAGACTTTATTTTTTCCGTTAATTACATGACAATACTTCTGCTTACCTAGAATTTAATATGTCCATTATTTAGATTAGAATATTTGTGTCATGTTTAATACAATATTCTCGTTATTTTGTCGTCTATATACTTCCATATTTCCATATTTTAGTTATTTTATTGTATTAATATAAGTGAAAAGTATTTTGTACTTAGTTGAATTTGAAGAATTCATTATTTCTATATGGAAGGGATTAACTAAAGATGTGAATAGAAGGCTTCAAAATGAAATATTTTGTTCAAGAGATATAACCTGACTTGCCTTTTAATAAATCAACTTATTGCCAACTACAGATTAAACTTTACTGACTTATTGTAAGAAATATTATTAAAAGAATGATAACAAACAATAATATAATCATGCAAATGAAGCTATTTTATTATTAAGCAGACGTATGTACATGTTTACAGGCGAATAAAAGCACATTTTTTAGAATATTTATTTTATGGTTGACTTTTTTAAAATGACACTGAATTAGTTATGCATTTCCTGTTGCCAAAGTTATACATTTATGACTGAATTCTTGCCAGCCGATTTGTTGTCATGCCGGATGTTGTATTTATTTGAGCAGATTTTATCAAAATAACATAAGTGTTAAGTTTTGATTAACTTCATAAAACAGTAGCCATTTTTTAACTTTACACTATTCACTATACTGTTAGTACAAATTTTGAACATTTCCCTGCAAATAATAAATTGGTTAGTTTAATATAGCGTCGAAAAGGTTAATAAGTTTTATATTATATTAGCAAATGAAGTAAAACCGGAAATATAAATAGGAATCCTGAAGAATTAAAAAAAAATCGTTTGCTATTCTGTGTCACCTTTTTTTAATATTTTTTCTAGATAGTTTATGTCATTTTTCAGTTACAGTAAAAGGTTTTGGATTCAATGAATGTGATTAAATATAGAGCATATCAGAAAAGTACAAGGTGCTATTGAAAGTAAGGCATATAATGTTGAATGTAGTATGGCTTCGCCTATTTAATCTGGTTTGTTTAATTGATATGGTCTTTTTAAAAAATTTCCTCATATAACTCCTCAATGAGCTCCTCGTCTGTGCCAACACGTGATTCCATTCCTTTGGATTTGCTTGAGCTGTCTAGCTGATTTGTCCCCATGACTGTCGAGAATGACTTTGTTGCAAATCTTGGTTTGAAAATAGATAAATCAAGGTCGGGAACTTTGTTGCATGGTGTCAAGGTACTTCTGAAAATTAAAAGAAAATTAAAACAATAAATTTAAATGCCTTTTGAATTGATTGTTCTTATCATTGAGATTCAAATCTAAATTGATTTAATAAGTAACAATGACAAAGTGTTAATTAATTTGAAACAGATGGTTTCTTTAGATGGTAGAAAGAAAGAATTATCTTTGGAATTACAGCCAGTTTTTGCTGGTATTTGTGGTAAACATTATAGTTAAACCGTCAAGAAAGTTCCCGTGAACGCAATTATATAAATACTTTATAGTTTTATTTAGTTTCTGTTGGAGTATTTTAAAGACTTTTCTTTTAACATTTTAAACGCTTTATCCTATAAGTACGTTATCTCTAAGAACTCCTTGAATAAAAAATAGTTTACTGAACTCTTAGTAATGAATGAATAATAAAATAAGTGGATCATATTTAAAGATGAGTTTGCACGTTCTTACTTTCCATTTGTCGGTGGATAATAAGGAAAGAACCAACCGTGTGTTCCAAGAGTACGCTGACCGTATGGATTCAATGTGTTTGTTCTATAATAAATGAAAAGAAAGTAAGAGCCCTGTAGAACAGAAAATAAAGCAAAATTGTAACATTAATACATTGATAAGAACTCATATGAATATACATGCAAACATTTCGTCCTAAGTTTCCACTTTAAACTATTATATATGGATTACATTATAAACAACAAAAACAAAACCTTGGCTACGTTCACACATTTGCCCTTTGCACTTATTCTTGACAGTAACTAAACCAAAACAGTTTAACCATCCAGGCACTTTCAAATAAGAAAAACACTAGAAACATCAACCATATTTGAATTGAAAACTCACTTTGATACAAATACACTAGGAAAATGAACAATATAAAAATTGAAAACTCACTTTGATACAAATACACTAGGAAAATGAACAAAATTAAAATTGAAAACTCACTTTGATACAAATACACTAGGAAAATGAACAGTATTAAAATTGAAAACTCACTTTGATACAAATACACTAGGAAAAGGAACAATATTAAAATTGAAAACTCACTTTGATACAAATACACTGGGAAAATGAACAATATTAAAATTGAAAACTCACTTTGATACAAATACACTAGGAAAATGAACAATATTGAAATTGAAAACTCACTTTGATACAAATACACTAGGAAAATGAACAATATTGCAATTGAAAACTCACTTTGATACAAATACACCAGGAAAATGAACAATATTAAAACTGAAAACTCACTTTGATACAAATACACTAGGAAAATGAACAATATTAAAATTGAAAAGTCAGTTTGATACAAATACACTAGGAAAATGAACAATATCAAAATTGAAAACTCACTTTGATACAAATACACTAGGAAAATGAACAATATTAAAATTGAACACTCATTTTGATACAAATACACTAGGAAAATGAACAATATTGCAATTGGAAACTCACTTTGATACAAATACACTAGGAAAATGAACAATATTAAAATTGAAAACTCACTTTGATACAAATACACTAGGAAAATGAACAATATTAAAATTGAAAACTCACTTTGATACAAATACACTAGGAAAATGAACAATATTGCAATTGGAAACTCACTTTGATACAAATACACCAGGAAAATGAACAATATTGCAATTGGAAACTCACTTTGATACAAATACACTAGGAAAATGAACAATATTAAAATTGAAAACTCACTTTGATACAAATACACTAGGAAAATGAACAATATCAATATTGAAAACTCACTTTGATACAAATACACTAAGAAAATTAACAATATTGAAATTGAAAACTCACTTGATACAAATACACTAGGAAAATGAACAAAATTAAAATTGAAAACTCACTTTGATAGAAAAACAAGGGAATGAATTGCATTAAGTTGAAAACTCACTTTGATAGAAACGCACTAGGAAAATGAACCATATCAAAGTTGTAGTTGTTACATAATATTCCTGATAATGAGTAATTCTGGATAGCTAAGATTTGTCCTGTATAAAATAAACAAAAGATTGTTGTAACATAGCTTGGGGACCTTTCTGTTGAAAATGTGTCGAGTTAAATCGTATACATATACATGCACAGTTCGTTAACTAGAGTGCATGTATTAGTTACCCGCACTGCAGAGCATACCCATTGATTGGTTTATTTTTGCTCGGGTATAAATATTGTGACGGCAGAAAAAGGGAAAGCATCGGATATATCATATTCAGATGCTCGTTCATTGGTTACTTTTTTCCGGGGTTTCATATTGAGACAACAGGGAATGTATTTGTATGTATGGCTATGATACAAAAAAGAAAGAACACTCGGCAATCTGATTAATACTCGGGGGCTATGCCTTCTCATACAAATCAGACAGCCACGAGTTTCGATGCTGTTTCTATTTATTAATGAACGTGGACTTATAACAAAAATTATATAATTATGAGTAAACAGAAATAACTTTTGCCGTATAGATCATTAGTTACGACAGTCATCAGTCTGTCATTGTTTACAAATCACTGCCAATGTTTATCAATATCTGTCAATATTTAAAGTTCTGAGCACCTCTAAAGGGACGCTACTGATGGTTTCCTATTTTCCGAAGATTTGTGTACCATTTAATGATGTAAAGCAATATTTTTTCTGATCATTCGCTCACTCTGTTTCCCATAATTGTGTCTGTAATTGTGCAAATTGACCAAAAAATTGGTATATAAACACTTTTATCTCAAACTGTACTGAGAAGCGAACAAAATAATCGGTTTTCAATTTGAGTGTTAGCATATAACACTATTTAAGTATATTATATTACGTTGTAAATTGTTTTCTTCCTTGTTTTATTCCTTGCAGCTTTTCCTTGTCTTTGTATAATTAATAATTGTTATGTTTTAACATTAGAGCCTCGGTAGAGCTCCTTTAATGTTATTTTTGTCAAGAATAGAAGTTATTTATGAATGACTGAGAAAATAAATATATTTTAGCCGCATGGCGACAAAACCAACATAGTGCATTTGCGACCACCATGGATCCAGACCAGCCTGCGCATCCGCACAGTCTGATCAGGATCTATGCTGTTTGCTATCAGTTTTTCTACTTTTAATAGAGTTGGTAAGCGAACAGCATAGATCCTGATCAGACTGCGCGGATGCACAGGCTGGCCTGGATCCATGCTGGCCGCAAACGTACTATGTTTGACGCGCTCATTTATCTTACTGTCTGTGAATCGAGCGTCTCTGTTCTGGTACCAGAACCGGTCACCATATTTCAACCGCCGGAATTGCCTTCCTATTATACACTCAAACGTGGGACCAAATTGTCCTCCTGTCACAGGCGTCTCCGTTAACCCACCAGGAAAAAGATCAATATCTAGCGGGGACCTGAAATATAAAGTAAATATGTCTTAATGAAATACCTTAATAAGATTTGAATATCTAGACCAAGTTTCAAGTTTCAAGTTTTTATTGATATCTCAAGGCCCAACTGGGCATGTGAGAAAACAACAATATAACAAATGTTTACAAAACAAAGTAAAGTGATACATAATTGAAATGGCAATGTTATGAACATAATTATGTACATAAAAAAAAGAGAACAAAATAGAATAAAAAAAGATAGAATAAAAATATAACATATTTATACTTAACAATTTAGAATCGGAGAATGAGATCAAAATGAAAAAAATAAATATATCAATATGTATTATTAAGCACAAAGATTATTTTCTTACAGAATATTGCTAGATTGAATAAAACATTTTTGCTTTCACTATTCATTAAATTTGAAAAATTAATAATGTTAGGTCTATGAAAAAATGAATTGTCTAAATATGTCTTTCTCAGGTGTTGAAAATAGGAACAGTGAAATAAATAATGAAATTCATCACCTAACAAATTATCAGAACATAAACAGCACACTCTTAGACTTCTATCCAAATTAAAAAATCTACCTGTTTCAATTGGCATTTTGTGGTTCATACATCTAAATTTGAAAAACGCTATTGCTAAATCTGATGGTAAAATGTTAAAGTATTTTTCAAAACCAAATTGAGTTTTAAAAATTCTATAATTCAGACATTTACTGGATTCATGAATAGAAGATTGCCAATCTTGAATAAACTGATCCTTAATTCTAGCAGAAATAGTTTTCTTAAAATGTGGGACAGAACTAACTGTTTGAAAAATCCAATAACTTGACAGACCGAGAGAATCTAAAGAAGTATGCACAAATTTCAACCAAGGAAAATCAACATCAAAATCAGAGTAAAGTTTCTTTGACATGCAATACAGCATAGAACAAATTTTATCTTTTTTATCATTAATCAGTTTGCCACAATAGTTCAGAACTCTTGACTTAATTTGCAAAGACAAAGGCAATATTCCTAGCTCGCCATAAATCATACATGATGGGGTAGATTGCTTCAGTCCGAAAACTAATTTAATAAATTTCAATTGGAAACGATCAATTATTTGTACATTTTCTACTCCCCAGACCTCGGATCCATATAAAATAATAGGAGCCACCATTGCATCAAATAAACTCAATTGTATATCAAATGGTAAAGAAAGTTTCCGAGACTTTGTTAACACAGAAAACATAGCTTTTCGAGCTTGATCAATCAGTTTTTTTCTTGTGCCTAAAAATTTTCCGTTAAATGAAAACTGAACCCCAAGATAATCAAAACAATCTACAATCTCAAGTATGTTACCCTCAAATTCTAGAGGATTAATATTATTCCACCCCCTTTTACTTTTACAGAACACAACAATTTTTGTTTTGGCAGTGTTTACCTTTAAACCCCAAGTATTACAGTAATCAGACATTGCATTTAATGCTTTTTGTAACTCATTAGGACTTTCAGCTAAAATAACTGTATCGTCAGCATAGAGCAACATAAACAATTTAAGATAAACTTCAAAATCATCTGTGCTTAAAGTGTTACTAACACTGTTAGACAGGAAATTTAAACCTTCAAATCTTTGAGACAGGAACGAGTTCAAGTCATTTAAAAACAAAGAGAATAAAACTGGGGATAAATTTTCTCCTTGTCGGACGCCAGCCAGACTTGACAAAAAGTCAGAAAATTGGTCACTGACTCTAACACAGGACTTAATATTTTCATACATATTGTGTATTATCTTAAAACATGTACCATCTATATTTGAACTTAATAACTTGTTCCATAAAGCAAGTCTATTTACAGAATCAAAGGCTTTTCTATAATCAATAAAAGCACAAAATAGTTTTCTTTTGTTAGCCAAGTACAAATCTATTAAACATTTAAGTGAAAAAATATGATCAACTGTACTGTATTTATTTCTAAACCCAGCCTGCTCTTCACAAAGAATATTATCAGATTCTAAAAAATTATTCAACCGACTACTTACAACAGATGTAAATAATTTACCAAAACAGCTCAAAATTGTTGTTCCCCTGTAATTGTCAGGATCATTTATATCACCTTTATTCTTGTATAAGGAAAGAATTACCCCTTTACTCCAAATTTCAGGGAAGAAACCTGAATCAAAAATAATATTAAATAGTATGCAAACAATTGGTAACTTTGAACAAGGATAATTCTTAAGGTATTCATTTAAGATATTATCCATTGGTGATGCAGATTTGTTGTTCTTTAAAACCTTTAAAACTGACTGAATTTCATTAACTGTAAATGGTAAATTTAAGTCTTCATTGTAGCTGCTTATCTGATCAATGTCTACCTCGTTAAAATGTTCATCATTATTTAGTTCCTTAAAATGATCATAGGAAACCTCGCATGAACTTTTATTGATTACAGTTTTTCTTTCTCTGGAGTACTTATTAAGAAGATTCCAGTATGATTTGTGATCACTGTTTCTCACCCCTTTAATTTTGTTTACAATGCAGGTATTGAACTCTTTAAGTTTTTTGTTAATTTCCGTCTTATATTGTTTGCTTCTCCTCTGCATATCTTCAAATATTTTCTACAGATCTGTTTGCTCTATACTTATTTTTTGTTAAAAATAACCATTCCTAGCATTTCAACAACTCAGATCAAACCAAGGTTTGTCTAAACATGCTGGCTTCTTAACCTTCCATTTTTTATCTTTTAAAGGATAACTATTCTTGATCAAATTACAGTTTTGAGCTGCAGAAAAGATCACATCTGAAACTTTTTCTGTAAGATGATTTATTTTACGCTGATCAAAAACATTCAATTGAGTACAGTCATCTAGTTCTTTCATAAGATCTGATACTAGATTGTCATCAAATTTACTAATAAAATCTGCTCTGGCCTTATTGTCCCACAATGCTTTGTGGATTACACTATCAGATTGATAACCATCATTACCCTTGTTCTCATCATCATCCTCTGCCTGAACCTCACAAGAATAACAAAGTTCTAAAACACAGTGAACATCAGACAATAAAGGATCAAATTCTTTAACATCAAAGAAGGTTATTCTTGGAAATAAACTACCAGATAATAAAACATAGTCAATAACACTAAGATATATAGCTGTGGTTTTACCAATGTAAGCACCAGCACCACACCTTCCATTGGCCAGGTATAAGCCTACCAATGTACAAAGTTCCAAAAGCCTTCGACCAAAATTGTCAGGACGATGATTATCACAAGTAAAATGTGATGTTGTAAAGCCAAGTTCATTAAGCTGATTCGTACCAGCAATATTATAGGTAGCATGATCAAAGTTCAAATTTGCAATGTAACTATTTACTTCTTGAAAATCACTCAGTCTGCCAGTTTTTGCATTGAAGTCACCCAACAAGCAAAATGTGCAATCATGATATTTCCCAGAGAAATCAAGTAAAACGTTCTCTAAATCATCAAAAAGACTTAATGTACTATACTTAGAACTCTCCGGTGGTAAATAAATCACCCCAAAAATACAATTGTCATTATTGAATTTGAACCAAATAAAGTTTTCATTACAGTGTTCAAGCATCTGAAAATGTTTCACAAATATATCTTTTATAAACATACCAACACCCCCAGATTTACGTTTACATTTTTCCCTATTAAAACTCTTAAAAGTATACCCATGTACATAGGGCACATCAAATTCATCAAGCTTTGTCTCAGCAAAGCAGCAAATATCATATTGTTTTATAAAATAATCAAATTCTGGTAATAACAACTTAGAAGTTAAACCATTTACATTTATAAACGATAAACTAATAATATTTCGGTTTTTTGGCACACAGTAAGTATGCTCATTCAAAACATGAATATCAAGTGCATCAACATTTTCAATATTAAGAAAAGAATTAAAAAGCAATGTATCATCATTAGAAACATGAGATGAGATATCCTTTAAATAGGGTAGGTTCATGTTTATAGCAACAGAAAATTCGTTGTTGACATTGTTTACATCATCAAGAATAGTTTCTGAAGTTTGAAGTTCTGAACACTTTGATTGAGAACATTGAATAGAATGTTGAATAACATTATGATCAATCTTTTGGCTTATAATAGAAGTTAAATCTTTTGAACACTTGGAACAAGAACACTGACTAGAATGTTGAATAATAGTATTGCAATCCACCTCGTTGCTTCCTTCAGAGGAAATTTCAAGATCTGAACACTTGCACTGAGAACATTCGTTAGAATTTTGAATTTGAGTAACACACTTATCATTCTTGTGTTTAATTAAAGAACTAGTTAAGTTTTCTGAACACTTGCACTGGGAACGTTGATTAGAGCATCGAGTTACATTATAATTAACCTTGTGGTTTGTTTTAGAAGTAGTTAAAAGTTCAGAACACTTGGAATTAAAACATAAACTGGAATGCTTAAGAAAACACGAACAATTTCTAACATTCTCCGGATGACATTAAATCAAATGTTTAAGTCCAAGAAGCTCCAAATCAGCCTCAACATCAATATGAAACAGGTCGTCAGGTGTAGACAATACCACATGCTTCTTGTTGTAAGTACAATGGATAGTGCCATCGCGTGTAAATACATTTGTAACCCCTGGGCTTTTCTTGGCGATATCAAATATCTTGTATCTCAAAGTAGTCAGATCATCCGTGATATAAACTCCTCTATAAGTATCAGATAACTTGAGAAATCTCTTCACTTTGAATACTTGGATCAGCTTAGCCCTCGATATAAAACGAACTATCACTTGCTGTTTTCCATTACCTTTAGGCTTCAAGGGATGACATACACTAATGTCATTGATGCTGAACTTTTGTTGACCATCATCATTACCTGACAAATTTCCTGACTGAGAGTGAGACATGTTACCTTCCTCGTGACCTTGCTCAACTTGTTTCCATAATGGTGTAAATTGATTAGAACTGATTTAAAGTATACCTCAACAATCTATGTATGTAGTGCAAATCAAAGCTTAAATAATGTATAAGTGCAAACGTAAAACCCAGATAGGAATATATATATGTATTATTGTGTTGTCCTTACTGCTGTGTTGTACGTGATGTTGTGGTGTTCTTATTATTATATTGAATTTACTGTTGTGTTATACTTACTGTTGTGCTTTTCACTGTGTTATACTTACTGTTGTTATACAGACTATTGTGTTGTACTAAATGTTGCGTTTAATACAGTAACAGACTTTTTAACCGATTATTAGATAAATATAGACCCGGAGAACAGTTCCTAGCGTTAAAGATTTCCTTCAAGTGTAACATAAGAACTGCATACATGTCACCTAGGAAGGTCTGACCACATCTGATACCAGCATAAGACGATTACCTGTATCCAGCCAATTTTAACTTTGTTCTGGCTTTATACGAGTGGTCAACTAAACCAGAATTCCCGCCATAATAGTTCCAGTATCTGCTGACAGACGATAGGCCGCACCACTTCCTGTACTCGTTATAAGACGGAAGTCCGTGATCACGTCCTCTTTGGATGTTCAGTGCAGCAAGGTCAAATGCTATATCATTATCTCTATCTATAAATAGACGACTCCTCACAGCTTCTTCAATGATTCTAAAAATATCATTATATATTTCTACAATTGATAATGATTTTAATCTAAATTTACTCTCAAAATTAGTGCCATTTATGCCTGGCCAATGTTATTAAAATATACAAATATATGCACTCCAACAAAATACGACATGCTCAGTTTTAGAATGTACTTTATTGATGGTGAAATTCCAAATATTAATATTAAGAGTTCAACATTTTTACATGGGATAAAAATCAAAACAAGAAGATAAGACCTGTCTGTGTTTGGAGACTGGCTTCCAGACATGTAATATGCCAATCTCTCAAAAGCTAAAGGTTGAAATGTCAAGTCTGGGTTGTTAAATGTGTCTTCTGTTTTACGGTTGAAATTCGGATCGTAAATTTTCTGTAACGATCTGTCGAAAAGGCGCATTGCCTGTGGAATCCATGTATGTCCAACTCTACAACGATAATATAAAATTATAAATATTATCTTCATTACAACAGCTCTAAGTTATTTATCCCTTAATGATAACGAATGTACAAAGGCATGTATGTTAAATTTGTTAATTACTTATTTGACTTCCAACGGTTATTTCGTGATAATATAAATAAAGTTTTGTTCTGCAATTTTCTACATTGTATTTACAGCAAAGATGTTGTGATGGGGGATTATATTACTGTTCATTATTTTTACCTGTAAGCGATTCCAAATGCGTTCAGCATGGTCGGGTTTGTATTTGGTTCATAAACATATCTTGCCGAACTCTCTAGTTGGTATTTCTTTAGTCCACTAGTAGAGAATACGGAGGCCAAAAACTCGTCGTATACAATCTTTTGCATTATGGCAATAATTATTCTTCTTGTTTCTTGAAAGATGGTTTCATTGTTACTGTAATAATCTGAAAAGTTCATACAAAATGCCATACAATGCATCATTTCTACGAGATATATCATATAGTTTCATTCATACAATATGTAGAAATGAGATATATCATATAGCTTCAGTTCATACAATATGTCTTATAATGCATCATTTTTACGAGATATATCATATAGTTTCAGTTCATATAAGATGCCGCATAATTATAGTATCAGTTCATACAAGATGTATAAAACAAAACTTGTTCATACAAGATATACTATATAGTATCAGTTCATACAAGATGTTTAAAACAAAACAAGTGCATACAAGATGTATTATATATTATTTATCCGTGCAATTGGTATCAAACAAAACTAGTTCATACAACATATACTACAAAGTATCATTCATACAAGATGTATAGAACAGTACTACTTGTTCGTGTAATATATATATCAAACGAATCTAGTTCATACAAGATGTTTTATAAAGTATTTCTTCGTGTAATATATATCAAACGATTCTAGTTCATACAACATGTATTTTATAGTATTTGTTCGTGTAATATATATCAAACGAATCTTGTTCATACAAGATGTATAAATATAGTATTTATCCCTGCAATACTTTTTTTAATAAAGTTTGTTCATACAAGATGTTTTGTATAGTATCAGTTTATAAAAGATGTATTATATAGTATCAGTTATACAAGATGTATTATAAAGTATCAGTTATACAAGATGTATTATATAGTATCAGTTATACAAGATGTATTATAAAGTATCAGTATATAAAAGATGTATTATATAGTATCAGTTATACAAGATGTATTATATAGTATCAGTTATAAAACATGTATTATGTAGTATCAGTATACAAGATGTATTATATAGTGTCAGTTTATACAAGATGTATTATATAGTATCAGTTATACAAGATGTATTATATAGTATCAGTTTATACAAGATGTATTATATAGTATCAGTTTATACAAGATGTATTATAAAGTATCAGTTATACAAGATGTATTATATAGTATCAGTTTATACAAGATGTATTATATAGTATCAGTTTATACAAGATGTATTATAAAGTATCAGTTATACAAGATGTATTATATAGTATCAGTTATACAAGATGTATTATAAAGTATCAGTATATAAAAGATGTATTATATAGTATCAGTTATACAAGATGTATTATATAGTATCAGTTATAAAACATGTATTATATAGTATCAGTATACAAGATGTATTATATAGTATCAGTTTATACAAAATGCGTTCCAGAATAAAAAAGGAAATTCCAGATGTCCTTTTTCCGGGGGTCTACCTAAAGGCACTTTTTCAGCAACAAATTTACATGCAGAAAGAAAGATAGAGTGTGTTGGCAGACTTAGGGGAATAATTCCCCTATCTTTTAAACCTCAAACGCATTGTACCTGTCCGTTTGCAGATGATATCCCTTTATCTTTTTTTCGAAGGATAATGTTGGAAATCGTTGTTCGGAGTTATTTGATGAACACATATACGTATACATAGAAGAATGTATTTCTTATACTTTTAAAAGGATAAGTAATACTGTCATTAATGCAGTTCATTCTCCGTAATTAGTATAGTGCGGGCATATGGACTAATACTGTTCAATTAATGAATATACATGATACATTTTTCATCGCATTCCTCATACGTTAGTATGATCTTTGCCTTTGATTATTATTTATTGAGATGAAAATGTTGCATGATATATGGTTTACCCCTGTTTTATTGAAGAGGATATGATCAACGACAAAATGGAGAGTAATAATATAACTCAAACATTTGTTTTATTTTTGTGACAATTCGTTACTTTATTTAACATTTTCCATCATACATCATATTGTTACAATGAAAATATGTAGTAAGTAAACAACAAAAGTAAGAGGAAAATAGTTAAAAGCTATCTAAAACTGATATTGATATTATATTTTTT